AGAATATAAAGGAAACATTTGACCTGAATAGGTATTCTACCTCAGGTCACGAAAAAAGTAACTGTCAACAACATTTAATACCAAAGGAACGCGAACAGGTACCAAATGTACAACCCTTTTTCGTTTGCTTTGTTCCGAATTGGCAGTTGGGCCCGCCGCCTTCAAAAAGGTATTTTTTGTGCATTTTTTCCATATCTTAGGTTTGGTTAACGAATTTTAGCGCCAAATTAACGCACCTATACACAAAAAAATAGAGGACACAAGATATATTTTTTTTCGACTTTTCCTGAGTTTTTAAAGTCAAAATTTCGTAAAAAATCCGCACAAAAATCATTATTTTTGCATTTCAATGCTTTAAATTTCCCAGACGGTAAGCTGTAATCACAAAGTGTTTGGGCTTAACTTCTAGATGTTTTAATTATCTTTTCAAAATAGCAAAGTTCTTTACAACCAGACGTAAGATACTAAAGTTATGTGAAAAACTATCGCTACCTCTGAAAAAAGCTTAAAAAAAATACCAGACTTCAAAAATTCTTCAAAAAAAGTTCTGCCATAGAAAAAAAACCATAATTCTTTAAAAAATGTTAAATCCCCATATCTATCAGAAAAAGTCGGTTTGGATCCTTGAGGAAAAAAAAGTTCGATTTTGCGTAGTGTTATCGTTCTGCTCCTGAGAACGCTGTCTAGCCATCTGGTTACCGTCGGGTATGTGCCAATCATGGCCAGTGCGGTGTTATTGACTCGATCCTGACGTTTAATAACTTTGAAAATTAACACTACATATTTCATATAGTACATTCATACATGTATACAGATAGACCTACCCAATTCGCAGAGTTTTGCCATTTTGTACCCCAACCTCGAAAACCACTTCTGTTTTATGTAACGCAATTTTAGGTCATATTTTGGCTTGTATCTTTAAAACCGTTCGCTCGAATATTGCTATTTTTTTTAGTGAATATACTGCTAATCAATTTATATTCAACAAGGATAATCTTTATTCCAAATTTCGGCTTTTTGACTATAATTTTCAACACTTTGTCGTATGTAAGGTAACGCCAGATAGGAACTACCCATATGTACATTAGAGTGGTCCGAAAGTCCAAATTTTTTGCAACTTTAGGTGATAAAAAGTTGTGTTAAGGGATTCTAAATCGAGGGAAACATTTTTTCAAATCGGTTAACGTTTGGCCCTCGCGCATCGAGGTCAAAATATTCCCTTTTGGCCGAGTAAGGAATAACTTAGGTACATATATGTACAGGTATTGAGGATTCTATACTACTTAAAAAAAAAAAAAAAAAATAAAAAACCGTTGATAGACCGTGAATTATAAAGAATTAACGTGGTTATGGTTATATGGTTTTTTTTTCAGAAAATTGTAAAGTTTCGTTTTTTTTTTTCATGCAAAAGTTAAAAAGAGCAAAAAGTAAAAAAAAATGTTAATTTTCGAGCCAATACTCACAAACAAATAAAAATTAAATCAATAGAACGCGAATTATAAAGAATTACGATCCAAAAATCGAAAAAAGTTGGGACACATGGAACAACTTGTAGCTTGAATCTTAGCTCGATCCTTAATATTAACTGAAAGTGTAAATATGGAAAAAGCTCACGTTTATTGTTAATATATTTTACAGATATTTTTGTGTTCTTATTGAATTGTTCGAGTGTATTTTTAGCTGTATACCAACAAAGTTACGTGTTCTGTAGTTCTGTAGAATATTACGTTTGTACAGCACAACCAACCACCAAGGTTAAAGTTAGCTGTTTTTAACCAATTAATATAGAATCAAATGGTGTTAATGCTTTCGGCCCCTTTTTGCCCCTTTTCGGGAAATATTGTATTTTTCAGGTGTCTATGTTTTCACTCATGCAGCGCTGCTTGAGGTTTGGATCAACAACAAACTCGAAGCAGACGTTGTAAAAAGTTATATTTTACAAAATATGACCAATTTATTGCCTATGTAAACAGCCACTTACCGAAATGCAATCGCATGTTGGAGCGATTCAAATAAGATCACAATCAATCAATCAATGAAATATATATTTTTTAAGCTCAAGCTTTTATTTAACTGTTTATATCATAATTAATGATTTAAACCAATTTTGTAGTCCAAAACACTAAATTTTTTTCCGAAATTCTAGTTTAGTCTAACGAGCATTCGTGCAAATTTGTAGGGGTCTAGCTTTATTTTTATAATAAATGCCAACATTTTTTACTTTTTCCCCATAGTGGTATGGGCAAAACTGAAACTTTGAAATTGGTTTTCCCCAGACACATGTATTAATTCGGAGCTAAAAACCATTAATGAGTCAAAGCTTATAACGAAGAACCTGAACGCTGCAGCTATGCATGCAGGAGATCATGGGACATATTTTCGCCCATGTGTCAACCGCTGGAGTTAGGAATTTGGATTTCTTTGATGGGAACAGGGACAAGGACATGTTATCTATCGATACATAAAGAAACCTTCTTCAAATATTCGAAAAACTCGGTATAAGAGATGGTTTTTGCTTTTACCACGTGAACGACCTTTACCATAAATTGGGAATTGCTCGGAGCTGGCCAATTTAAAAGTGCCCTCACTTAATGTTCCTCGACTTAATAGCCTGACTTTAAATGGCATTGAGCATTTTTGGTTAATATTGGATCAGAGCATTATAAAACGTTAAAAGTACTTAAAAACAGCACTAGCAAAGAGGTGGGGGTGGGGGAAAATAACTATAGATCAAAGTAAAATTGGTCGCATCGATGCAAAATTGGCTGAAAAGGGCCAAAAACAATAAGAGGAACTAAAAATATATATACTTTTAGTTTAAAAGTAAAATAGAAACAAAAAAAGTTTTTTAAGTGGACTGGTTAAAAATTACATGTGGGATGAGTTGAGGTCAAATTTTTGTAATTGTTAAAGCTTCTTTAAAAAAATGTTGAAAAATAAATAAAGCTGGTTTTTAAGTTTAAATATTTGTCTATCATTTTACATTTAATTTTCAGGGGTAAGGTAGATGGTTCAGAAGTTATACCACTTTTAAGTTTTTCTGGTCGTCTGGTTCATTTAAGCGTACCTGAGTTACGCTTAAATGTACAGTTGTGTTCAATGAAATAGTAGTGCCGCACCTCATCACTTTCAAAACTCTTTTTGAGACACTTCCAGCTATCCAAATTGAACAAATGATACCTTTTTAAATAGACTGGACTGTTACCATTAGAAAACCGAAGAAATGTCAACTCATTTGAATTCCATTTTCTTGTTTTACATGACATAAGCCGAATACCCATGAAATTTGCTGTTCAATGAAATAGTAGTGTTTTTTTAGAACATTGAAAAAAACAACGAATCTCAAATAAAAACATATATTTCATGTTTTTCATGTTTCCTGAGCTTTAATATTTAGTTTTTAATCAATTTGGTTTTCATTTCGAACTTGCACCGGCCGGATATGGGTCATTAATCTCTTGCCAACGCTTCAATAGGATTTGAGCCAATAATCCATGAACCACTTGCTAAAACTTGGCTCTGGTTCACGGATTTGCAGTTGCAATAATGTATTTGGTATTCCCCCATAAGATTTCGATGAGATTAATATCCAGTTGGACAGTTGGCCATGGAAAAACGTCGATCTTTTCCGATAAAAATCAATTCCTAGCGAGCTTTTATGGGTGTTTCAAGTCATTATCCGGTTAAAATATCCTTTTAGCAGGAATTTTTCAACTGTAATATGAATGTAATGTATTCTAAAGTATGCCTACATCCTCAAAACCATACTATACTCAAACGCCAGGCCAGAAAGAACTAGCTCATATGAGCTGGGCCCCATAAGGCTCAGCCTAGCATGCCCAATGCTAATTTTTTCATGATTTTAGGTGGTAATCGGATTTCTGTGAATGCCAAACATATTCTTTTGAGCCTATCTTACTATATAATACAACTTTACTATCTTTAGTCAAAAGTATTTTTGTCACTGTGACACAGGCCATTCCACATGCGTTTTTCCAAACTGAAGTCGTGCACACATGTACTCTTAGACCCAAACGCGGTGCTTTCTGGGACTTCTTGCATTCAAATAATGTGTAATCAACCGTCTAAGAACCGTCACATCACTGACAGAGCGATTTAAAATTTTTTTCATAATTTTTGAGGATATTAAAGGCCTGGTCTTGCCTTCGACCATCGCCGACCATCCTCTAAAAAATAATTTGTTCGCATACAAAATCGATTTCAAGTCTACTTCTTTTAGTTAATTGGGTTCAATACAATAGAGAGAGTGCATAAAACTTAGTTTTAAATCCCATTATACCTCCTGCCTTAAGTTTTTAGTCTAACTCTTAGGTCTCCTCTTCTGGACCGAGCAATGATTTCTTCAACGCCTCAAAATCAAAAGTACCGCTATGTCCAAAACTTTCTTTCATCAAATAATTCAATAACCAAATTGAGCTTACGGATGGTGACTTGTTTAAATTAATTTGCTTTTGTTTTTTCATTTTTAAAAATAAATTTAACCCAGCACTACTATTTCATTGAACAGCAGATATCATGGGTAGTTGTCTAAAGTCATAAATAACAAGAAGATAGAATGCAAATGTAATGGGGTTTCTTCAAGTTTCTAATGCTTACATTCCAGGCTTTCCGTAAAGGTATCACTTGTTTAATTTGAAAGACTAGAAATATCTCAAAAAGGGTTTTGAAAGTGATGAGGTGCGGCACTACTATTTCATTGAACACAACTGTATGTAGTAGTAGAATTTAGTAGAAAATATCAGTAAACTGAAAGGCTATTGCTGGTTTAAAATTTCTTGTCTAGAGGAGCGTCTCATGCAAAATTGTTGCCAACTTCCAATTCGCTTTGCCAATATTTCTGTCTTTAGTCTATAATTTGAGAATCTACTTAGAAATTGGTAGCACTTTTACACGAATATAAAGAGACGGGCATGGCTAAATCGACTCACCACTATCTCGTTTCGAATGATGGCCGAACCGAATGCAAGTTATTTAGGATTGTAAATATCTGTATAAAATAGCACAATTATTTATTTGATTTTCATTGACAAAAGACTTGGAGTTCATCGTGAGTAACACATTGGTATAAAGCCTATTATGCAGGTAAGTACTCGTATGTATGTGTCTGTATATATGTAGATGTCATCGCAAGTATATGTATATAGTATGTATATAAATATAATGTATATTTATGTAATATTTGTGTGTATAAGTTGTATGCATTATGTTAATTGTTTAGCTTAAAGCGAAAATAATATGGATATGCGAATGACTGAGAGCATTCCTGCATTTGCTGCGCTCACTGGAAGATCTGAAATCGTTTTAGGATTACCATAAACAGGAGCTCATTTGGTAAACGCAATTACCTTGCGTCTGGCGAGAAAAATAGGCAAAAAATGACTAGAAATAATGATAAGCCCACCAATTTTGAAGCCGCTTTGAGCATGCGTAGGCCGCGGACCTAGGTCTGATCTTTGGCCTTGAGGTATTCGGATATTGAGGGTTTAGTGAAAGACATCCATGAAGGGAAAGTAGGCCTGTTCCGGTTCTAGTATATCTACCAGAAAGCAGACAGTGCCGGCGACTCCCTCATACAGGCTGTGTGGGTTATCAGGTATCCGAGCCCTTTGCTTGAATTCAGAGTTGGTCAACAGCTCCATGAACTTGTGCGCCCTGTAAAGGTACTTCATTTCGTTGGTCAGTCGGAATAGAAGCAAAAACACATAGCCGTTGCCAGCTACTCCGTGGCAGATGCCTGGACCTTTGCGAAGGAATCCCTTTTTCCAGACCAAATCGGCCGAGCGACGCAATGACGTTAAATACTTCTCCTCCTTAAATATCAAGTAGGCCTTGGCAAGCATATAGACCGCCCCCGGAGCGCCGTGGCACCAGTGCACAAGGCGCTTGTCCCTTCCCGACCGCAAGTCTTCTAGGGCCACCGGAAAGTTGCCGTCGGCGTCCTGTAGCACGAGAAAGTAGTCAATGGAGCGCTTAATTTCACGCAACTCGGCTGCCGGAGCCGATATTGGCACTGTGCGAAACCATGGACTGTCTAGCAGCATATGCAGAATAGCACACAGTCCGTGGGCAGCTCCCAAGTACTCTGTTCCATGGTACTGAAACATCAGCGGCAAAGGGGAATTGTTCATCTTGCTGTACTCGCGACCGCTGGTCACAATCAGCTGGCAAATGGAGATTAAGTCGTCGTCGGTGATCTTCTTATCGGGTAAAACGTCGTTCAGCCAATAGCAGCCGGAGAGATAGCCGGCTCGTCCCACCAACACCTCATCACAGCCGTATTTGGTGTGAATGAACTCCTTGCTGGAAGGAATGCCCGACTTGAAGTTCGCCAGGTCGTTGGAAAGCTCCTCGGTGTCCTTGATTGCCTGTGATATGGCTGCGGAGACGGCATATATTCCAGCATTGCCACAGAGAAAGGAGTAGCGCTCGGCAGACCGTTTCTTAAAGCGCTCGGCATTCGCTTTGGCATTTCGAATGAAGGCGGATGCATGTTGTAGTGCTGGGGGGTAGAGGTCCCGCGTCTGCTCGCAGCTGGCCAGCTTCCAGAACATGAAGGCGATGCCGGCATTGCCCACATACAAATCCCCACGGTCGTCCTCGTCGTCACTGTTCGGATGACAATGCTCCAAAATAGTATCCACGTAGGTACAGATGAGATTTTTTATGTGTTCCTCATCGCTGGCGAACGCCGTGTTCTCGCCGTCAAGGAAATCTTGGAACGGATTCTTTAAATATCGTCGCTCCATTTCCGTATTGGTAAAAGTTTCCTCGTCCGGCTCGCGGCTGAAGTGAGTTTTTTTTCCACGTCCTACTTCGCAATATTTTAATTGTTCCTGTCAATGCAAAGAAAACATTAGGAAAGGGTCGCCAATCGATCTGCTGGCTTAGGGCGCGGCCGGTGTCTGGCTCTCCCCTACTCACCTGCTTCAGGTACGAACGGTAGTTTTACCTGTTATGCGTATCGTTTGGTATTCTGGAGAGTCTGTCAAGTGTTCGAATTGCCTAATATTACCAAGAAATATGTTTTTTTGTTTGTGTTGTGCAAAAATATTGTATTCCAATAATGTGTAGATATGCAAGGACAACAATTTTACAATAGGTCAAAATATTCGGTTTGTAGACAAAGATTTATGAAGCACTAACAAGCTCAATTTGAAACATTTACACACAAATTTGGAAATCCTGGCATCCTTCGCCCTGGTAAAGTTTACTAAAGTTGCGAGATGATACTATCGCTTGCTATATATATTTCGGCTTATCGATGTATTCGGGCGCTTATCGCAACCAATGGTCGTATTCCACTAAACTTCAGGGCCAATCTAGTCTGAAAAAAAGAAAAACCGTGATTCAACTAAACTTTTATTAATGACTGTGGGACCAGATATTAAGACATTATGGGAAAAGCATACAAAGGATATTTCACAGGCCCAAGCGAAAGTGGAAGGCGACAAGCGAACCCAGCTAGAAAAGTGAAATAATGAAGAAAAATAAAATCGCAGGATCGGATTTATTTAATATTGCGGTGTGCATTGCCAGTTCTACAGGCCCACAAATTATACATTTGTGGCAGTCCCCGTAGTCCGCTTAACAAAAAAATTATATAATCTAAAGTTCAGCTTGTCTTTCATAATTTCCAACGTCCAGTCAGCAATTATCGGAGCTGATTTTTTGACTCACTTCGGCTTGCTTATTGATCTCAAGGGCCGGCGACTCATAGATCCCCCATCTCCGATCTTGACAATCGACTTTGTGAGTGCCTATCACCAGATTCCTGTCGCTCATGAGGACATTCCAATAACTACTGTCCCGTAGTGTTTTCTTTGGCTGCTGCATTGACGACATCATCGTGTTCTCCAGCTCTCACGAGGAACACCTGCACCAATATTTGAAATTCTACGCGAGAACATGTTAAGCATTATAACGCAGAAGTGTCATTTTGGAAAGAACGAGGTTGTTTTTCTAGGCTAAGCTATCAACTCCAAAGGATTTAAGACGCCTAGTGAACGCACTAAAATTCTTCAAGAATTTCATAAACCAACAAAAATCATGAATTCGCGAAGATTCCCTGACTTGGTCACGTCAATGTGTTCCATGTCAGCGCTCGAAAATCCAACGGCACACTCGCAGTGCTGTCGATCACATGGAAGTCCCAGATCGATCGCTTCTGTATATGGCCTCTAGCTGTTCCACTGCAAATATGGCGGCAGTAATAGTTGCTTTAGATGTCTGCACACACTGGATCTGTCAGTTTGACACGCCTCTAACCATAACCACTGATCAAGGAACACCCATCGAGTCTGAGCAGTCACGAATGATCGGTGACAGACTACAGCATACCACCCGCAGTCAAATGGGCTTGTCGAGAGATGACATCGCACACTGAAGGCTCAATAACGTGTAACTCACACATCCCTTGGCCGGAGCTCCTTCCAACTGCACTTTTCGGTCTGCGTGTAGCACGGGGGGTAGTAGATGTCTTAAGGTATAATAAGTATAAGTATACTATCTCTCTCTTTTTCACGCACTCTTCATCTGCCGGTGTTGGCTGGTGGGCTAGTGCTTGTGTGAGAAGAGAGACAGATTTAGCAGAATAAGCAGTATGGAAACAGATAAAATAATTAAGAATCAAACAGTTCATTAGGGAGAAGGCGGATAAACGAAGTGCAAGAACTAACATTGGCACATAACATAGGGCGGACAGACAGACGTAACTATGTAAATGGCTCTTGATGCTGATCAACGCTCTTCTGGGCGTTACACACATCCACATCCCCCACAAAACTAATATATACCTATACTATTTGATTATAATGTATAAAATGAATAAATCCTTTTAATTCCGTGCACTCTAATTGCGCGATATCTCTCTGGTGCACTAGTAGTTGTGGTGGCTTGTTTCCATTCGCCGCACAATGATGAAATTATATTCAAATTAAATTCATGCTGTGCACTAGACCTTAGGAGAAACATTTTCATTTAAGGGCCAAATACACAAGATGTTCCCATTTTTGTTTATGTGTGTGTTTTAGAGACACAGAGTAGATATTAGGTAGCATGTTCGCAGCATAAAAAAGTGTTCTGAAACTCAGAACTTCTGATAGGTCTATAGATTATATTTACATGTAGAATACGACATAAATTTTCCCTTGGTAACTCATTAGTTTATTCAATAGTAATATAAATATATAATCGATTTATCTTCGAAACAAGTGCTCTGGACGACTCATTATCTGCGCTGTCCTCCGCTCAAGATAGTGGCAATACGGATGAATATGTTCAATACATCTAGGTAAATGGACATTGAGCTGAAGCATAAATCAGAATAATTGGGGTTAGTTATGAACACACAGTTTCACACAATATTGACTCACGCATTGATAGGGTCGAAGGGGGCATAGGAGTATTGGGGATGAACCTCAGCCTTGCGGACCATTCTCTGTGTGTCGTACAGCAGGAAGCCACTGAAAAGCACCAGACCACCATAGAGGGATATGGATGCCAGACCTAGATAAAGATAATTATTGGAGGGTGGATTAAACGATTGCATACCATAGGCATCGTTTACTACTCACCAGCACCCAGTGCTGTTGTTGGCGGTAGCCACAAAGAAGCCAACGAGGAGGCAAAGACAAATCCCAATCCAATGGCCAACGGGCCACCCATGTACAGGAACTTGTCGCTTGGCGCACATGCAGCGATTGTGGACAGTCCACCGACAATACCACCGGTGTAAAGAGCAGCACGAGTCAGAATCGGACCACCAATGAAACAAAGAGGAGCGATGACAGCACCTAAGATGGCGCAGTGGACTGCCCACGCGAGGTGCTTCGTCCCAAGGCCTGGATGGTACTCAATTGAGCGCGCTACTGCCCCACTGCCAATGACGAGCGCTAGCGAAGATATAGACCACTGTTCGAATAAAGTGAAAGTTTTACGTTTGCTTGGATTTGCGTGAAGGGGGGGCAGTTGCACTGGTGTGTACTTACCAAGAAACCGCCGCGCGAGGCCAACGCCAACAGGCGGGGCGAACGAAAAACGGCAGCTGCAGTGGCTGCTGTCAGGATGCAAGATCCACCGAAGAAGGCGTAGGTGCTCTGGATGCGATCCCTTACATATTGTGGCCACATTCTTTATTGAAAAAAAAGTTAATTTAGACTGCACAACATCTGCAACCCAACGACACTCACATGGCATTATCGGCAATGCTCGTATGCTTGCCCAGGCCCACGCCATAGTAGCAGAGGGCTCCCAACCCGACAACTGCGGCACCAGCAGCGGCACCTTTTCCCATCGAATACGCTAGAATTGATGATATTAAACTGATTACACAAGATTTGCATTTACATATTATATTTACCTACCATTGACACTTGGTGGAGCCATCAGTTTCTCTTTCAGTGATGGATGGCGCAACTGCTGTTCCTCTACAGGAGCGCGTGTGCGCACCGGGCCACGAGCATAGTTACGCACATCAGCGAGCTTAAGTTTTGATTTCAGAAAGCCCTGTGAAGACTGCTGACCAAGAAGGTTGCTGCCCGGACGGGCTGCCGACAAAGCAAATCGCAACATTATGCTATTGTGATGAAATTCGCGGACCTTAACTTTGCTATTCTTTTTCTCTTAGGATATGTATATGTAGTTGTCTTTATCTGGTGCAGTTTTCTTTTGTAATGTTAAGTGTTATATTCTTAGGTTAATAACTGGTGCTATTAGCCTCCCTGCACTTTTTCAATGTTTATTCTTGTGTCTGTTTTGTGTTCTGTCTTAAGCCTGTTTGATAGCAGTGACCAGTGGTGTGACCAGAGGTGTGCAATGAATTTCGTACGGTTACACTGCTCAGACAGCTGTTTGGTTTTGTTTAAACTTTAAAGTAAACAAAGTTAATGAAATACACTTCTTCGGCTGGGGTCGCTCTTCCCCAGGCATTACCTGGGCTCCCCAATATTTTATTGTTAAAGGAATGTGTCTGGCTATCAGCAGCAGCAGATGGCGACGCCTCCCGTGCAACCGCCTCGACCACCGTGAAGATAAAATGTTTTGCAGAGCATACACATGGGCAGAGACGAAAATAACCCAATAGACAAAGCAAAAACAAATATAATCAATTTATACTACTTGGGATTGGCAGCTCTTGTTTTGGCAGAGGAGGTACAAGCAGAATGTTGGTTTTATATTCATAAAAATTAATAAAAATAATAAATTTAATTTCCATATAATTTTCTCGAAAATAGCTGCCTCAATTAAATTTTATTTAATTATTTCTTCATAAATATGTATATAAAACAAATATTGTTTTTAAAACATGTTTCCTTCACGGTGGTTGCGGCGGTTGTACGGGAGCCGTCGCCATCTGCTGCTGCTGATAGCCAGACACATTCCTTTAACAATAAAATATTGGTGATCCAAGGTAATGCCTGGAGAAGAGCGACCTCAGCCGAAGAAGTGGATTTTATTAACTTTAAAGCCTAGTATTCAGATCCAAAAACTGTTTGCCAGTGGTGTGACCAAAGGTGTGCACTGCATTCCAAACGGTTACACTGCTCAGACCGCTGCTTGGTTTTGTTTAAAGTTAACAAAAGGGTGGGGGGGGGGGGGGGGGCGGCCCCCGGGGGCCCTCGGGGGACATTAAAGGAAAGGAAAGGAGTGGGACAAAAAAAAAAAAAAAAGGGGGAGGGCCCCCCGGCCGGACCCCGTAAAAAAAAAATTGTTTGAAAACAATATTTGTTTTATATTTATGAAAACTAATAAAAAATTATAATATCCATATAATTCTCATTCATATAATACTGCATTACTTAGATTCTATTTGTCTTCATTATTGAAATATTTCATTTGGTTTTTTGTACGCTTATTGCAATGTTTGCTGGCAAAATATATCAAATTGATATAATTTTCGAGGTGGGTCTAAACATACCAAAAAAACAAGCAAATACTTCGGATACTTTTGCAGTATATACAGACCTTTTTTTTGTTGATCTGAGTCACCTGCAGTACGAGTCAGCGATGTGTAAACAACCACACATCGATGGCAACGTCATGCAGCTCGATGACATAAGCGATGACCTGCCATACGATGGGCTGTTTACTTTAACACAGGGATGTCCTAGGAACATAATCGATGACATAGTAAGCGAGAACTAACCGAAAGTAGGACACTACTCGACAAAATTGGACTTTTTATTTAGGCTGTGAAACAAAACGACTTTTTCTGATAGATTTCGGGATTTACAAATTTTTGTAGTAATTTATTATTTTTTTTATGGTGTCATTTTTTTTTTTAAGTATTTTTAAAATTTGGTATTTTCTTTAATGGTTATTTTCAGAGGTAATGCTTCTATTTTTCACATAACTTAAGTATCTTATATCTGGTTGCATAGAGACATTGCAGTTCTGAAAAAAGATTTTAATGAAAAATACCTGAAACGACGCCTAAATAATGCGTCTATCTAAAACCAAACCAAACCAAAGTGTTGGCCAAGAATTATTTTTTTTTTCGACTTTTCCCGAATTTTTAAAGTCAAAATTTCAAAAAAAATACCGCAAAAAATGTTTAAATTTGAATTTGAAAGCTTAATATCTTTCAGGCGTTAAGCTGCAGATACAAAAGTTCTGGGTCGGATTTATAGCATTTTACATTTTTTTGCTACATCTGTTAACTACATATACATATATTATGTATATTATACATCTAACATGTAGATTAAACATGTACCATTCATATTCTACATCTCCTCCGCAAGGGGTTGCTCGCGCACTGAACGCGGCAGAGTGTGCGAGCGGGATCATATAATTATGATCCAATCTGATTCAGATTCGGCAGTCTGATAGATATGGCTATTCTCTACGATACTGCGCTTTTAGTTTTATCGTATCTTTAAAAATGTGCCTGCCACAGATTTTCGTCCTTTGTGGTGGCGGAAGGGGGCGGGGCGAAATTTTGAAATACACTTGTAGCAGTGTGATATCACATGAGTCTGGAAATCAAATTTGGTTACCCTAACTCTTATAGTCTCTGAGATCCAGGCGCTCAACAAGACGGACGGACAGACAGACATGGCTATATCGACTCGGCTAGTGATGCTGATCAAGAATATATATACTTCATGGGGTCGAAAACGTTTCCTTCTCTGCGTTACACACATCCACTTTTACCACAAATCTAATATACCCCTTAACTCTTTTTTGAGTACGGGTATAAAAAGAGTTTGGTTTGACCAACGCGTCGATCGCGACGTCGACTTCATATTCTACTCGTCTGTCGCAGCGGCATCGCTCTTCTGGTACTCCAGGGGAAGGACAAAAATTTTAGAACCCACACAAGCACAGTATGTGTGAATACATGGCACACACACATTTACGTAACCTGGAAACGAAACTCAAAACGGTTTCGGAAAATAAGAATTGATAAAAATTTTGTCGTGTCTGTTTACACCAGGGGTCGGCACACAGCCTCTTGCATTTTTTTGGTGCGTTTGTGTGCGAAAACAACAGACACGAAGGAATTGTGCATAGGGCTTCTCTGCCGCTGAGGCAGGCTCCCGACCCCGAGCCGAAGGCCCTGGGAGCTGGGACAGAAAACTCAGCTTACATCTGAAAATTAATGCCGATTAATACTAGAAAAGCAGTCGATGGTATTTGCTGGTATTCGATTGTATTTTGCTATCCGCTCGAAAAATATAGAAGTATTCTATATTCAGCTATGGTACCTAGCAAACAGAAACGTAAAGCCTAGTACTCAGTTAAAAATATGTTTGATAGCAAAATGGGCCATATATTCTTCTAGCGGCCAGTGGTGTGACCAGAGGTGTGCACTGCACACACCTTTTTATTTCCTTTTATATGACTAAAATGAGTACCGGGTATAAGATTAATAAATAATAATATCCATATAATCGGTATTCATGCGAATGTCTTAATTAAATTTAATTTGTTCTTCATTATTATACTTTTTTAGCTGGCTTGCACTTGTTTCTTTCCATTTTTGATGTGTGTGTATATATCTTTTGGACGACGCAAGACAGAATAATTCTATATTCCGCTCGAGATGGGAAAATACCATCGGTTGCTTTTCTAGTATGTATCGAATGGCCCTTTTTCGGAACTGAGTACCAGTCTGCGAAACGTCTGAGTACTAGGCATAAGGTTAGGTTATAGTTCAGTTCTTTCACTTTAGTTCGTTTTTTTTTTGATCGTTCATGAACGATCCACCACTACTTGAACTAAGTGCGTCAGGGGACCAATGTTATATGGTACACATTTCCTTCGTTTTATTGATTTCCTTTCATCAAAACGCAACGCAACAGCTGAAACTACAACTAACTAGGGTCTAATTCCACACAATCACAATATTAATTACAATTATAAGCAAAAAAGCTAGGCTGCGCAGCCTACACATAGTTTTTACGTATCGGAACGAGTTTCCTGCGGATCTAGCCGCTGCTTTTTGTTTATTACTATCACTTCCGTAAGGTGCGACTTGCGCAGCGAGCCATTGTGGTCGTAAGTATTGGTTTGTTCCAATGTTCCTTCCGCATTCGACTCGTATGTCTTGCATTCGTACAGCGGACAGCACCTGGGGTATTCAAGATTAGTCTCTGTTGGCGGAACGGGCCGGCAGTCGCCCTTGATGGAGCTCGGCACCAAACAACTGAACCAAAAAGTTTATATATTTTAGAGTTCATATCAAAACATTAAAAGCTCACCTGTCTTCCCAGAGCTGCAGAGTGCCCAGGCACTGAACCCTTATGCATAGGCCCAGGCGTGTGAAAACCTCACCAACATACAGATGGCGACCGGTCTGTGTGTCCATGCAGAACTGCTGATTATAGTGATACGATGAAGCTGCTGGATAAGCAAATTGTTCAGTAAATGAAGCGTGCTCCTATAAGTAGTATTTCTGTATTCTCAGCTTACAGCGATACGGAAGTGCCGCCTCCCCTCCAGCGAGAATGGCGAGCAGCACCAGCAGGACCACAGATGTAAGCGCTGACGATTCCATTTCTCTCGATCAGCTGGTGAAACTGGTCTGGCCCGACGATTGCAAAGTTTAGCGCACAACTGAGTTCCGCGCAAATATCTTTCTTCTTTTTTAAATTAAACAACACCAACAGCTGTGCTCGTGCTGCGTGTGAGTGTGTCTGTGTTTAAAATCACGCTCTTCCCACATTTGCGCGCTTTCCCTACAATGAATTGTATTGTATTTGAGCGTGTTAATGTTCGTGTGTGTTCAGTGTTTTTCATGAATCAATTTTTTTATAGTTTTAGGAAGTGGATGGCTTTTGAAAAGAGTCCTTAATCGAGTTCAAGGAGCAATTGTTTTGTGGTGGACACATCACTTGGCAATATTCGCTCACTGCGCCCTTACGGTTCCAAAGCTCGTTTTACGATGATCTTCTTATCGCTTGGCCACAAAATCAGTCGTTCTTGCTGTTTTTGCGTAATGTGCAAAGGAAAAACAAAAAATCGAAATCCATGTGTGTGATTGTGTCCGTCTGACGTTTTGTCTGCGTACGTGTATTCATGTGAGTACCTATTGTACGTACAAATGTAAATACATAAGTTTGTATATGTGCTCATTTGTATGCGCGAAAGAGAAATAGCACTTAGAAGTTCAATTAAAAAAATTTGTTTATATTTATATTTTCTTCTAGGTACGGCAGCACGGGCGGTCTTGCCTGCTTAACATATAACATGCCACCCGTCCATGCATTTCCATTGTCATCATTGCAGACAGTGAGTAACAGAAGCACACCATGCGTCACAAGTTATTAATAAATATGTATTTAATTTTATTTTCATGTACTTTCCCGTTTTCCAACAGCCACATGGGTGAGAAGTGAGTCGGATTTGCAATAATTGTAGGGTATAAAATACACAATATTCCATTCCGGCACCTTCAATTGGTCGACTGTGCTTCCGTCTCCCACTACGCATACGGATGCTTCATGTTATTATCTCTCGTACGGATTCCCGTACTTCCTCATTCATATCTGAAAACCATCTTCTTGTGCAGCATCTTTATTGATCTATATACATATATTAATGATGATAATACTCACACAAAACAATGTTTAAAAAAGATCAGAAATGTATTCTACATTTTCCGCAAAATTTTCGGGCTTTTTCAGCACTTTTAAACTATTTTTAAACAATTAGCCAAATCATTCTAAACAGATTATTTCATCTGTACTATATAAACAGATTTTTTTGATTGCTGAATTTATTTTTTTGATTTATGCAACACTTTCCATACAAAAAATCAAACTAACGTTTGACAGCCCTGGAAAGGCCTACTTTATACAAAAATACTAAACTTTTTCCTATTATTCTTAAATTTTCGAATTTTCCGCGCAATTTTCTTAATTTTTTCTTTTATAAGAACCTTCTCCTGACGATAACAAATACAACAAAAAATAAATTAGTGAAATCGGTCCAGCCGTTCACTCGTGATGCCAGGACCAAGGGAATATATAAGAGAGAAGTACATATATGTATCGTATGTATGTTTTTTGTATGTACATGTACATATTTATGTATCTTGTGAGAAATGACATGCGGATGAAAATTTAAATTTCGGTTTTATAAAACTACATACATACATACATACATAAGTAAAAAATTTTAAAATTGTTCGGAACAGCTACATAGGGTAAATGGGTACATTTTGGATGGAATCCACCGGAAACAATACACGGTGGCAGCGTACCCTGACATCCAGAAGGCTTTCGACAGGGTGTGGCATGACGGACTCCTTTCCAAAATCAAGCCTCTACTCAACCCGCAGCTCCACGAGTTGACAAAAAGTTTCCTGTCTGATAGGAGCTTCCGAGTGGTGCCGAATGGAGTTGCATCCTCGGCGAAATCCATCTGGGCTGGTTTTCCACAAGGCCGCGTGCTAGGGCCGTTGCTATACAATATATTCACTCATGTCATGCCAAAGCCAGCGATGTCCGCACCCCCCAAAACCAGTCCATCAGAGTCGCAACCTTTGCTGACGAAACTGCAGTGTTGTCTAGCGCTGGCTGTGTCTATAACGACACGGACAACCTGCAAAGGTACCTCAAAAAATTTGAGAACTGGGCGTGCAGTTGGAACGTTTGTATGCGCGAATCAAGACACGTGTGCAGTGGTCACGCAAACGCTCCGAGAGGGAACGTGCCCAGAAGTAATCTTCCATAGCGAACTGGTGCCCCAGAATATATATATATATATATATATATATACCCCTTGATACCCGCCTAACCTTCAAAAGCCACATTAGGAACGTAAGGGGTAAACTCGAAAGCAATGTCTACAGGCAGTCCTGGCTCCAGTATGGAGTCCAGGTCTAAGGCATAGCAGCAAAGACACATCTTACCAGGATAAGCACCTTCCTGAGTAAGTTCCTACGGAAGATCACTGGAGCAGAATGGTTCATCAGGAACGTTGACATCGCCAGAGACCTCCTTGTCCCCCTGGTCGGTGATGTTATAAACCAACAAGCCTAAAGGTACATGGCAAAGCTAAGGAGTCACCCAAACGTCCTGGCAAGGAGACTTACGAGATGTAGACTTCTACGAAGACTGGCCCGTGTCCACCGACCTGACCACAGGAAGCTGTAGGAAGAAACGCCTGTACCATTGTGTTTCCTTATCTAGCCGTATCGTCCATTCATAAATGTCGCTCCGTTTCACGTTAATTCCTTGTAATTCTAGTTCCTTAGACCTATGTATTCGTTCTGTTTCTGATATAAATGCTGAAAAAAAACGAATTTACCGAAAAAAAGTGTTATCCATAATGTATACATAGATGTATACAAGAAAATCTGAACAAAAACGAAGCTTCAATTATAACCTATGCTTCATGTTCTACATGTTTCTTGAGGTTTAATATTTAGTTTTTTAATAATTTTTGCTTTCTTTACGTCCTCCTCGGACTGGCATGGGTCGGATCAAACTAATCAACGTCGAGTAGAGGTGGCAAGTCTTTTTCTGAGTGAGCGCTTTGGAAAATTTAAATACACGGCTTTTTAGTTTCGGAGATATGAGCATTCAAAGTTGACCACTTTTTTAGCTAGCAGCATTTTCTCAATTGTATGCACATACTTCATCTTTCAGCTCAAATAAAAAGTAAACTATGGCATGTATTGGTATTGTTTTGGTATATATTATTAGGTGTATACATATATCGGTTGCATTTATCAATAAAAAAATTGTGATTGTTGGAAAGACTCTTAAAAAAATTTATTTTTTCAAAACATCTTTTTTTTTTTGGTTATTTTTATACCCGTACTCAAAAAAAAGTTAAGGGGTATATTAGATTTGTGGACGGGCAGACGGAAAGACGGACGGACAGACATGGCTATATCGACTAGGCTATTGATGCAGTTCAAGAATATATCTACTTTATGGGGTCGGAAACGTTTCCTTCTCTGCGTTACACACATCCACTTTTACCACAAATACAATATACCCCTTAACTTTGAATTCTGTACAGTAACAAAATTGTATCGTAAGTATTTATTTATTTATTTATTGAAGAGGATCCGCAACTATCTGCTAATATAAACTATGATTAAAATTAAAGGAAAAAAGGGGATATAAGAAATAATTAAAAACTAGAGGATTGTGGGTACAGGTACTAGCTCTAATTTTAAGGAATAATTCAGGGATAGGGTATGATAAAGATTATTATAATTAGAGCATAAAATTCGAAAAGGGTCGTGTTGAGCGTAATTAGACCTACAGAAGGGTAAACGAAACGGACGAAAGGTACGGGTAGGTCTAAGGGGAACAGAAAAGTCAAGCTGGCCAAGAAGTGATTGTGAGTCAACAATCCCAACTGGGAGCTTGTGTCCGAGTCCCAGTTTAAATTACGTAAAGCAAAAATGGTTTTTGGACCGATTCGAAAATGGACTGTTGCTCCTTGTACTGTGGACTCCACACACAAGAATAACATTCCAGAATCGGACGAACCAAGGAGACTTACAGTGTTTTCGTGACATACGGGTCGTCAAACTCATTGGACCAACGCTTTTTAAACGCTAGAACACCTTTTGTTTTATTTACAGTTACAGCTATATGGCTATTAAAGCACAGTCTATGATCGAAAAGAACTCCAAGGTCATTTGTGCTCGAAATTCGTTCGAGGGCATGATTTCCAAGAGCGTACGAGACAAAATGTGGAGTGCTACTGTAAAAAGTCATAAGTTTGCATTTAAAAAAGTTCAGAAAAAGGAGATTTTTTGAAAAAAAGAGTAAGAGTATGTTATAACTTGAGGAAGGTCATTCACAAACAAAATACACAGAAAAGTAGACCTAAATGACTACCTTGTGGCACTCCTGATGTAACATTAACGACATTCGACAACACATTACTAAGTTTAGAAGATTAGTGGGGAAACCAATTAAGGAAAGCTTGTGAAGGAGCAGAGAATGGTTCACGGAATCAAAGGCCTTGCTAAAATCCGTTAAAATTACGTCTGTTTGCAGTGAGCTTTGAAATCCTCGTTTAATTGCAGAAGAGAACTCGAGAAGGTTTGTCGATGTTGATCGATTTAAAAAAAAATCCGTTTTGCGATGGAGATATGAGACTACTGAATAGGTGTTGCAATTGCCTGGTAAGAAGGCAGCTTCGGAATGGCGGAAAGCTTTGCAATACCTCGGTAGTTCTCAATGTGAGCTCTTGAACCCTTTTTGTAAAGCGGAATGATGTAGGATTCGTTCCAAATGACTGGACGACAAGACCGTTCCAATGATAGGTTGAAAATATATGTCAAGGGTTTGCATAGAGACTGCGCACAGTGCTTTAAAATACAGCATGGTACCTTGTCTGGACCCGCTGAGAATGATATGTCAATCGTTGACAAACCATCTAGAACCTCACTTTCCTCAAAGAAAGGCAGACAAATTCTGTTGGCATGAGGTAAATGGAGAGGATACGGAGTGGATGCGTGGTAGATATGTGACGAGTACGTTGATTGGAAGAAGGTGGAAAATAAATTTGCAATACCAGAAGCAGAAGATTCTGACTTGTCTTGATAATGAAGGGATGGAGGAAATGCATTGGACTTACGTTTAGAATTTACGAACGAATAGAATTTTTTATATTTATTCATTTATTGGCCAACAGATTCAAAAAAATATCCTTAACTGGCTAAACTAGCTTAATTCTACCTTAAATAATAACAAACAGCAACAAAATATAAAAATCAAACATGAAAAAGAAAAAAGTCAGAAAGTATCCGTCTGACGGCTCTCTTCCCTGGCAAAAGTCAAACCGTATCCCTGCTGGCAGCGCATTGTGTTGGCGGAGAGCCCTGGAAATGGGCTCATTATTGCCATAGTTGGTCCGATGCCGATCGACCACAATAGGTGCATGCGCTCTTAGGCTCCTGGCAGGCGCACTAAAGCCAATCCGACTAAGCAGGTCAGGACAATCAATATTACCCACTAGTAGATTATACAGAAATATCTGTGCCGCGATGGTCCTACGATCCTCGAGAGAGGAGAGGTGCACAAGGCGACATCTACGCTCATACGACGGCAATGGGAGAGAAAAGTGCAAGGATCACTACGAAAATTTTTAACACACCGGGAAAGGTATTGATTATAACACAGACTATTAACAATATTAACAATAACAATATTAACAATTAACAATTAATAAGGAATTGAGAACGAACAGAGGAATATTGGGCGAAGACAGACATAGATCCAGTATTCTGATACTTTTTATAGAGCCTAGTTTTTCTATTCTTTAAATAGGACAAATTCTTGGAAGTTTTGACGAAACAGATTTGATAACAGGAACATATGTACATATTAAGGGCGTCGTTAATAGTGTCATAGAACGAATTGACGGTTTCGTCAATGTTCTGTAACTCGTGGAGAAAAGACCAGTCAACGTGCCATGGGATTGGCAGCACAACTGAATCGGACATACTCAAGGGATATAGCTAAAGTTGGATGGTAGGGTTCTTCAGGAAGTGATACTGGACTTACTCTGGAGACCGTAGCTAGAGCAGAATCACTGATCTGGAATACTCCCTTTTGAGTAGCTTGATTTTAGTGGACTGTATTATTTTTATTTCTTGTTCGGTTCGCTGTCTTTTCGGTACTGAATAATGCCGGCGCAGCAGCAAGCGAATACAGCTGTTTTTTCGTCTCTTACATTCTATCCTAATTTCCTTTTGTTTTCGAGATGGACTTAATATATAAAGGTGACAAAATAATATCGGATGCGTTCCTCAACATCCCGGCCCGCCCTGAAACATAGTTTCTGAACCGGGCAATACAGCAATCTTAGTGATTGGTCGGGTAATTTCTCCAGATGGGGTCTTGAGCCTGACTGCTCGAACTAGGTCGTCCTTTCCTGGATAGGTTTCAATAACCTTTGCGATGTTCCATGAAGACGGTGTTGTGTTGGATTCCTTAACAAGCACAACGTCTCCGCTCGTGATGTTAGGGACTGACGTGGTCCATTTCGGACGCTATTGCAACGTTGTCAGGTACTCCTGATGCCATTTTTTCCAGAAACCTTGGTACATAGATTGAATGCTCTGCCAGTAGCCCAATCGGCCCACAGGGATGTGATCCAAGTCAGCCTAAGGTATAGCGGTGTATGGACGTCCAATTAAGAAGTGAGCTGGCGATAGATAGTTGACCTCAGTATCTGGTGTGTAGCAGAGAGGTCGTGAGTTGACCACTGCGCTGACTAGAGCAAGTAGGGTACGCATCTGCTCAAATGTAAGCGTTGAGCTTCCGATGACTCGCCGAAGATGCAGTTTAACAGATCGAACTGCCGATTCCCACTTTCCACCCCAGTGAGGCGCACGTGGTGGAATGAAAACCCATTGGATACCATCATCTGCCAGGGTATGGGTGATCAGGTTGGTGTGTTGCTGTGACGCCAGTAGTGTTTGCATTTCATCGAGTGAGCGTTTTGCACCGATGAAATTTGTGCCGTTGTCGCTGTAGATTTTGCTGCACCTCCCACGTAGAGATATGAAGCGCCGCAGCGCTGCCAGGAACGTTTCAGTGGTGAGATCAGTGGCAAGTTCCAAGTGGATTGCCGACGTGACTAGGCAAACAAATAGGCATATGTAGCCCTTACTGATGCGTGGTTTGCGACCCTTGCCATCCTTGAGAAGGATTGGCCCAGCATAGTCGCAACCGGTGTTGACAAATGGCAGTGCCTGCGTTATACGAATGCTGGGTAGGTCAGCCATTCGTTGCTGTGATGTGTGCTGTCTTTGTCGAAAGCAAGCCAAGCAGTCGTGTGTAATTTTGCGTATGAGATTACGTGCGCCGAATATCCAGAATCTTTGGCGAACAATAACGAATAGTGCAGAAACACCTGGGTGCAGGTTGACTCGGTGCTCGTGTTCCAAGATGAGTTTCGTGACGCGATGGTGTTTTGGCAGCAAGACTGGGTGTTTTGCTTCTGTAGGCAACCCTGAGTACATTGTCCTTGTCAATGATTGGTGAAAGTTTCACCAGTTAAGATCGGCTCCGTAATGGTTTCTTGGCAAGTAAAAGTTGGTAGTCGTCTTTGAAGCATGTTTGTGTTTGTCGCAAACACATAATGCGTGCCGTATTGAGCTCCTCAAATGTAAGAGATGTGGAGCTTCTGTCCTGAGATGGATGCTTGGTGCGTTCAATGAAGCGAACAACATAGCCAACAACGTGGACGAGCTTCAGCCAGGAAGAAACTCGGGCTATTAGTTCCTCCAGCTGATTAACCGATTGTGATTCGGTCAATGTGGACAAGCACGTAGTTTTGACTTCATTTTGTATGCCATTTCCTGAAAGAGATAAGTAATACCTTGAGTTGTTCAACTTTACCATGAATTGATCCCTGTCCCGTAGCCACAAGGGACCAGTCCACCACAACTGAAAGTCCATAAGGTCGGCAGCCATGAGGCCTCTGGACACACAATCAGCTGGGTTTGTTTTGGAGTCCACATGACGCCAAGCATGGCGAGGGATGGAGTCCAGAATTTCCGAAGTGCGGTTCCCAACAAATGTCTTCAGCTGGGCTGGTGCATATGATAGCCATGATAGAACAATTGTAGAATCGCACCATGCAAAGACAGTGGTGTTTCTCTGTCGTAATGCAGACTTAATTGAGCGTATCAGTTTGCTCAGTAGAAGTGCTCCGCAAAGTTCCAGGCGTGGCAAAGATTGTTGCTTGAGTGGGGCCACCCTTGTCTTTGCAGCTACTATCGATACGGAAATAGAGCCATCGTCGTGTATTACTCTGCTGTACACTACAGCAGCGTATGCCTTGATTGAAGCATCGGAGAATCCGTGCAACTCGATGTTGTCTGCGTCGTTGACAACCAAACGTGGCAGCTGAAACTGCTGCAAAGTGTCGAGATCTGCTCGCCACTTCAGCCAATCGTCTGCCAGTTTGTTTGGGAGTGGATCATCCCAGTCCAGATTGAGTAGCCATAGGCGTTGAAAGAGGATCTTGAATTGAACCAGGACGGGTGCCATGAGTCCAAGCGGGTCGAATATCCGTGATACGTCGGACAAGACTTGTCGTTTTGTGCAGCTGGGATTTGCAGATAGACCCACATTGTACGATAAAGTGTCTTTTCCAGGGTGCCAGTAGAGTCCCAGAACCTTTACTGGTGACGAATGAGTAAGTTGGGTAGAGGAATCGGGGTCCTCTGTTATGGAGTTGGTATTTGATACCCATTTTCCGAGCTCTAAGTTGGCGCAAGACATTAGTTGTATGAGTTCGTTTCGATTTTGTAGCAGTTCTTCCTCACTGTTTGCTCCAGTAAGAACGTCGTCAACGTAGAAATCCTCCAATAGGATTTTCGCAGCATTCGGGAATTCGTGCCGATGATCCGAAGCCAGTTGTTCCAATACACGAACTGCTAGGAATGGTGCACATGAGGTTCCGTATGTGACAGTACAAAGTTGGAAATGCTTGATTTGTTCCGATGGATCTTCTCTCCAAATGATCCTCTGAAAGTCTCGATGCTTGCTGCTGACCCATATTTGGCGGAACATTTTCACAATGTCAGCTGAGAATACGAATTTGTACATTCTGAAGCGGAGGCACACAGCAAACAGATCGCGTTGGATGCTGGGTCCTATAAAGAGAGTGTCGTTCAAGGCCTTTCCATTGGTGTCGCGAAATGAACCATCAAAAACTACACGGAGTTTTCGACCCAACACAGGGTGGTGTGGCATGTAGAAATGCTGCCCAGCAGTGATTTCGTTTGACGGCAGTTCTCGCATGTGTCCCAAAGATTGATATTCTCGCATGAAATTGATGTATTGGATTCGTAGCGGCTCATTGTGTTGTAAGCGCCGTTCCACCGATTTGAAACGGCTGAGAGCTCCTTGTAGAGTGTCTCCAAATTCAGGATGTGCAGTGTTGAATGGAAGCTGTATGTACTTCCCCTTTTCATCTCGAGTGTGTGTGGCGAGGAAGTGTTTCTCGACCTGTTCATATTCGGGTTTCAGTTTAGTAGTACAGTCGACGCTCTCCAGCTCCCAAAACTTCTGGAGTGACGATTCTATATCGAAGGTTGTGATAAGTGTAATTGCGTTACGTGTTTGTAACCCATCCGAAAACCGATGAAATGGCGATAAGATTGCCCTTGCTGTCGTACATCTTCCTTCCTGTAAATGTAGACCATACGCAGCGTTCCGATACATAGGAGAGTTCTGAGCCTGTATCCAATAAGATTCGACAGGTTATGTATTCTCCCTTTGCGTTCTGAACATAAACCATGGCCGTGGGTAATGTGCTTCTGCTCAATCCATTTGTTAGTGTTGATGTTGCAGTGCCTTGCGCACATACAACCGAAGATGCACCTTCTACTTGGGCAACGTGACTTGAAGTCACCGCAGTGTTGTATTGAGCATTTGAATTGCTCCCATACTCCTCCTCAGTTTGAGGAAAGCTCCCGATAGTGAAAGATGTAGTACCTTGTGAATGGAGTAAGGTGTGGTGATGACCTTTGCAGTGTTTGCATGTGTATTTGGATTTACACTTGCTGCTCAAATGACCAGGTTTCATACAGTTGTAACATAAAGCCTTATCCTTAACAAAAGATCGTCGTTGCAAAACTGTCATGTCCAAAAATTGAGAACAGCCATACAGAATGTGTTCTGTCGAATGGCATTTGGTGCAGTTGCTGCCTTCAACCGCCACCATCGAATGTGTGAAGCGTTTTGGTTTGTGCCCTTGCGTAGCTGCTTTCCCGACGGTCACAAGCTCCCCTTTGCTCAGTTCCAATTCCTCGCAACGATCATCCAAGAACTTGAAGAAGTCGTCGAGAGTGGGTGAGTCTTTGTCCATACTGCGTTCAATCCACCTGCGCCTCGTGTCAGCGTCAAGTTTCTCCAGTGCCAGATAGATGAACAGTCGCGTCCCGTTTGGTTAACAGCATCCAGACCACGAACAATCCCGTTTGCACCGTCGGATACCTTACTCAAAACCGCCGCATCAATTTTAGTAGTTGTTGGCAAGCTCATAAATTGTTGCAAAAACGTATTCACAATATGCCTCGGCCGATTGTACCTTACTTTTAGACGCTCCCATGCAGTGCTGTAGGCAGTGTCAGTAATTGCCAAATGACGTACCAAGTTGGCAGCTTTATCGATCAGTAGTGTTTTCAAATGATGGAACTTCTGTGTGTTCGTCAAATGCTGCTTGCTATGAATTGTACTTTCATAGATATCCTGAAAGGCTGGCCACTCTGTGTAGTTGCCAACGAACCGCTTGATTTGAATTTTAGGCAATTCGCTTTGCATTGATGGCGCCGCACCAACTGCAGAATTCGAATTCGCCGTACCTCTAACTTCGCCGTCACCATAAGCATGCACGGACATGTTCGTTGTGTTCTGGTTTGCAGCTAACTGCTCGAATAGCTGTTGTTGTTGTTGTAGCAGACTGAGTACTGCGTCGTTTTGTAGATGAAGGCCATTGCTGCCATCCCCGATGTTTGTTGTAGTTAGAGTTGCTTGTAGAAACTCCTTCCTCTCCAAAAGCATAGCATGTGCCTTCAGGTACTTCTCCTCGTAAAGAATGTTTTCTTCCTCTGGATCCACATACCCATCCACTTGTTCGAGAAGGGCTATGGAATCCCCAAGTTGTAAGAACTCCTTCCAAGCAGTTTGGAGCAGCTCTATCCGTGATGTGACCTCTGTCGCTGAAGTTGATTCCGACCGTTCTACCCAAGCCAAAGCGCGTGTGATAATGGCCTTGAGTCTGCCACGGGTCTTTACCAATGCCCTTAATTGTTCCATTGTTAACAATTATCAACTGAATACCGAAGCACACCAAAAACTGTACAAGAATCCGGCTCGAAAGGACCAAAGAATGATCTGGAATACTCCCTTTTGAGTAGCTTGATTTTAGTGGACTGTATTATTTTTATTTCTTGTTCGGTTCGCTGTCTTTTCGGTACTGAATAATGCCGGCGCAGCGGCAAGCGAATACAGCTGTTTTTTCGTCTCTTACATTCTATCCTAATTTCCTTTTGTTTTCGAGATGGACTTAATATATAAAGGTGACAAAATAATATCGGATGCGTTCCTCAACAATCACAAACAAACATAAGGTCTAGGAGGCTGTCCCTACTATTTCGTATGGAATTGATTTGGACAAGGGAGACATGGGTAAGCCCGTCGATAAAACCGCTGTGGTAATTTGGTAGCAACAGGTTAGACTCATCACTAGGCAGCCAAGAAGGAAGTGGTAAGTGAAAATAACCCATGACAATAATATGATCGTTGCAACCTAAAGTAGATGCAATAGTCTGAATTGCAGAGAGGTGATATGAGTAAACTTCAGCAACTGATTTGGGAGGAATGTAGGAGCAAGTCAATACAAACTTTGGCTGCAATGAATTCAATGCCATAGATATTGTTGAATGGGAACAACTCAGATGAGAAATCCGTTTTAACAGCAATCAGAACCCCACCAGCAAAAGATGGACGGTCCATTCTATAAGTGATAAACTTAGGAACGAAAATTTCATGATTATAGACGGAAGAGTTAAGCCAGGTTTCAGTTAAAGTCCAAAGCGTGTGTTCATAGGCGATGCAACGCCTATGTACACGATTAGTTGTAACTAATATTGAATTAAATTGGCAAGAAGGCAGAAAATGCAGGAGCGAGGTGAAAAGACGACCGGCTTAAGCAAGAGCTTTTTACGAATATATGAAATATTGTAATCTTATATTTACGGCACAATCCAGACTTGAATACAAATATCAGTCCTGCAGATCAGATTAATCCTACATGTATCATCATGATAAGTTAAGAAAAACCCGAAAATATTCTGCACTTTACCGTTCGTTTTCATCGAGGACAGGGCGTCAAAACTCACGATACTTTTGTTTTTTCTGGGACTTGTAAGCCATCTCTGTTAGCACACTCTGTTTTCCTAGGTCCTGCAGCCATGCTTGGGCACACTCATACTCAGCTTCGACGTAGCGATGTATGATGGCTAATGTCTTAACCAGCTTCCTCTTCTCCTTAAGTTTGCGCTGCAGATAGTTTATGTAAAGGAGACTTTTATGGGAGCTTGCGTGGGAACTTAGCATAAAGCGGACCGCTCCCCTGGTCTTGTGAAAGGAGCCGCCACCAGTGTGGCGCTGCTTTTCTTGGGCTGAGGCCTCCGACACGATGTCGTTGGTGGAAACAAAGCAATGACGTCTAGCGGGCTCCATCCACTCATACAAATTCTGCTCTTCGGGCAGTTCATTCACTCTAATTCTGTCACGGTGCGGAATACGCCGGTAGTATATATCCCACAGGGGGTTATGCTGGAGATGAGGACCATCCGGGATCGCCCCCTCACAGTACGGTTCCATATGGTTGTTTGGTAAATCGGCAAGCCGTGGCCATGTTTTGCGTTTTGGCTGCTTTTGCCGTGAAACTTCTCTTGTCGCCTTATGTTTTCTATCAAAAGCATTTTGTGTTGGCTGAAAACGTTCTTCACTATAGCGATTAGGCAGATCCTGTAGGGAATTTATCATTTTGGTATCGAAACAGTATTCCTTCGTCTGGTATGGTGGCAGATCGACTCGAAGGGCTCTCTCATGGACAAGATGCTTAGGGCGTGCCTTTCGGAAATGTTCCCTCAGTTTTCGAGCACTACGCTGGTCGCACACAGATCGCAGAGTCCTTTTCAGCATCATATTTCGAGCCATATTCAAAGCATTTCGGTCCTTTCCATCTTGCCTACGTGGGCAGTCATGCTGTGAAAGGGGGGGCGGTGGCGGCGGTGCAAAGCCCCGGAAATTAGTCGGAGGATCTACGGCCTCGACGGCCCAGTTTTTCACTTGCCTGGTTCGAATTTCGGCTCGTGAGTTCTGACGAATCGAGATATGCTTTATGTTATATCGGTCACCCGCGGTATCTCTCTCTCTCTGTTTTTTTTGCGTTCGTTCTTCAGTATAATCCTCCAGAGTATTCTGTGCCTGCTGGTCTTGAAATTTTTTCATCTCACCCGCAGTTTTTCCTGAGTTTGAAAGAGAAGGTGAAGCGCTGGCAGATACTGCAAGTGTCAAATGCTATTCGTAGACGAAACTCGTATTCCGGCGCCGGACGGAGAGCGTCTTTCGTGTGGCCGCACCTGGTGCACTCGTAAATACTTATATATTGCCTGTATTACGGACTTACAAAACAAAATCATTCGATAATTTATGTGAGTCTTTCCAAATACAATAAATTCTATTAAATCTGAGTCCCCCACACAGGGAACAAAGTCCTTAAATCTTGCATAGTGAGTTTTCCCAACTAGATAACTAGATTGTTCAGGAAAAAGCTTGTTTGCTGTTCTGAAAAAGTCCAGACGCAAACAAAGCTTTAAAAACTATGTAAATGAAACGTAATACATTTGGGGAATATTTTCACTTTTAAGCCTTATGATAAGTCGAATAAAGTGTGTGTTTAGGTTGTACTATATTATAAGACTTTTGCCAAGCTTTTAAGCATTTTCCGTCTCCATAGATGAGTATATAACATATGTATGTATGTAAGATATTATTTAGGTATTGTTTTATTGATATTAAATCGCGGTGCACAGGTAATGGTAATTGATATCCGCTGATTTCTGCTGCTGCTTTTCCATGCTACGTCCGTCTGCTTTGAATACCTTCTTACTACTCTCCTTCTGTTGATCTTCTTCTCTGCTGTGTTCTTCCTCTGCCTTGACTGCTTATCTGCTGTTGTATCTCGTTACTGTTACTGCTGCTGCTCTTCTGTTAAACAATGCTTACATGTATGTATGTATATACTGGCCCAGTGGACCACAAGACGATAGTAAAGCGGAACTATCGTAATGTTCGTAAACGGACTTAGAAATGATAAAAATCCGTGAGTTGTTACTGAAGCCTCGCTCAATGTCCGCAAGCGGACTCAAACAAGAGCATTTAGCGGACAAAAAGCATGGGACGTTTAAGTATCGCAAAATTATTGCAAACGGACTTAAAAATGAGTAAAAACTGTACAAGAAAGTAAAAAAAAAACGGAAATATAGCTAGCTACCGGTAAAGTCTCGCTAAATGTGCGCACGCGGACTCAAAAAAGAGCATTGAGCGGACAAAAACCAGGGGACGTTTAAGTCTCGCAAAAATTACGCAAACGGGCTTAAAATTGAGTGAAAAATTGACAAGAAAGTAAAACATAACGGAGAAAATAGCTAGCTACCGGTAAAGTATCGCCAAATGTTCGCAGACGGACTTAGAAAAGAGCATTTATTGTACTAAAACCAAGCGTCGACTAAAGTCGTAGCAGTAGGATAGGTTTATAATTCCCAACTGCTTCTGGCTGTGAGGACATGGAAACCCCGATGCCGATCAGAGGCGTAGAGGTTAATCGTGATCACGAGCGTGTTCCTCCGGAGTGAGACTTTTGCGATTATTCCTAATGTGAATAACTCGTCTGTGTAAATTTTGATAGCCGGGAATAGCGTTTGCGCCGTCCCTACTTAAATAATAAATATGCGAACAAAATACGAGACAAAAAATATTATTTTTGATTTACTTTTAATATTACTAGTGGGCTACTTTTAATATTACTTTCGGCTCGATAATGATATTAAATACGTATCGTAGAAGATAGCATAAAAGGCTCGCAAAAGATATTATAAAAGGTCCGCAAACGATACCTTCTTCGAGCTACCGAAAACGAAACTTTCACTGCCACAAAGTGATTCATTTTATTATCGTTTTTGGATCTAAAATCAAGCGGGTTACCCGCTTGAGTTTCGCGTAACTCACGTTTGCGATATCGTTTACGAAGTTTTGGTCCACTGGGGGCACACATATGGGCATTTCTCTGAAGTCGAACGGGGCAGTCGTAAAAAGTTGTAAAAATAAGACGATTTTTCAAAGTTTGTTTACCTTTATCATACACCTCTTGGCTAGCCCTATAAGTGGTCCTAAGGTCGATTTTGGGGAACTATTCGTTGTGAAGATTTAAAAAAAAAACCGAGCAATTCGCACGGGACATACATATATGGAGGTGGTTTTCTAAGTTATTGAAAATATATGTCAATTGGGTAAATTAGTTGTCGTTCATTATATTTAGACTATAATATCGCAACATAATTATATGGAAATGTGTTTTTATAGACTACATTTTTTGGTCTCGGTGGACCTCGTCAGAGAAATGCCCATATTTAAATAAGCTTTCAATATGTATGCAAGCAAGCTTTATCGTTAAGCTTTCGTCTAAATCAATGCTCCATATGTAAAGCTGGTATGAGAAACTGGAAGTCTAAAATCGATCAGGACTGAAGATAGTAATACAAACTACCTGCCATCATATGATTATATGATTAAAATGAGTACCAGGTATAAAATTAAGGAATAATGATATCCATATAATTTTTTTTCATTTGGCTGCCTTAATTAAATTTAATTTGTCTTCATTTTTGCACTTATGTAGCTGGCTTTCACTTGTTTCCTTCCATTTTTAATGTCGGTGTGTGTGTGTGTGCCTGTTGGACGACGAAAGATATAATATTTCTATGTTCCCTTCGAGAAGGGAAAATACCATCGGCTGTTTTTCTAGTATTTATCGAATGGCCTTTTTTCGGAACTGAGTACCGGTCTGCAAAACGCCTGCCGCGAAATTTTGTTTTCAAATTTAGTTTATTTAGTTTCAAATTTTCAAACGAGAAGGAACGTGTGAGTCGCTTCTTTGGACGCGACTCTACTTTTATACCAGTACTCAGTCAGTTTATAAATTTTTGAGCTTATGATTTATGTAGAATTTAAAAAAATTCTACATTTAAAATTTTTTTGCTAAATCTGTTATCAATATCAATATCTACATCTACAGTCTCGATTCCACATATAAAATGTAAATTATACATACACAGTGTAGATTCTACATCTTCTCCACAAAGTTCACGCACTGCACAGGGCAGAGTGTGTGCGAGCGAGAAAGAGAATGAGTAGCGGGTCTCTTGCTGGAGGAGGTGGGGGAAGCAACTGCAAATTAATTTCTTTACACTGGCTATAATAATGATCCGATCTGATTCAGATTCGGCAATCTGGTAGATATGGGCATTCTCTACGATACTGCGTTTTCAGTTTTATCGTATCGTTAAAATTGTGCCTGCCACTGACTTTCGTTTTTTGTGTGGTCGGAAGAGGGCGGGGCAAAATTTTGAAATACACTTGTAGCAGTGTGATATCACATGAGTCTGGAAAAAAATTTGGTTGCTTTAACTCTTATAGTCTCTAAGATCTGGGCGCTCATCAAGACGGACGGACAGACAGACATGGCTATATCGACTCGGCTATTGATGCTGATCAAGAATATATATACTTTATGGGGTCGGAAACGTTTCCTTCTCTGCGTTACACACATCCACTTTTACCACAAATCTAATATACCCCTTAACTCTTTTTTGAGTACGGGTATAATAAAGGATACAAATATATCGTATTTTGTTGTTTTTACTTTTCCTGAGTTTTTAAAGTCAAAATGTCGTGAAAAATACTGCACAAAAATCATAGATCAATCAAAGATATTTTTCTTTGATCTTTCTAGTAAAAACAATGGAATAAAGAATTAAATGAATTAATTCACAACTCTCTGCTAAAATTCTCATTGTTGCTTATGAACTCGGAAAAATAATATCCTGTGCCATTACGGATTTCACGGGTGATTTTTTCACCCCTCGAGTCAAAAACTCGAAGCGGTCTAGATGGCTCACTGCTGTCGAAATAAATAAAGAGATCTCTGTCAAAGTTGAGTTTTTTAAAGCTTGTCGGACGTCGTATGGCTTGCTTCGGTTCATCGGCGCGACGACGAGTAGTTCTCGGGCTTGTGGCTTGGAGCTTCGGGCTGGGCTGGGGAGTTGCTATCGACTGGGCTGGTTAAAACATGTTGCTCGTCAGGTCAAACAGTTGTGTTCCGATCGCGCCACTGAGAAGTACCGTGAATCATCACCATCTGAGCGCTGACACTTCGCCGAGTAAGTGGGGCCCTCTCTGCCCTGCCTCTCCCTCATTTCAAGTTGCTGCTTAGTTGGGGAAAACAAATACAAATTCAACAATAAAATGCAATTAAGCTGTTCAAATCAACAATAAATTGAATTAAACCGCGCTAGATGCGCTCAACAGCTTCAACAGCAGGCTAAGCTTAATGTGGGCTAGGTCGCAGTGCCGTTGGCTGTATGACAATGTGACAATTTGGCTCTCGAACGGCCGGCGTATGTATGCCACAAATAAAGATTAAAAAAACAGTTTGGCCTGATACATCAGTGATTACAGTAATTAATGTAAAATCGCTAAACGGAATTTGCATAAATTTTCCGAATAGCTTTTATGCCATTAATTTCCTGTGATCTTTCATATTTCCAATATTTGTAGCGGTTTATTTAATTTATTTTCAATTTATTTTCGCCCTTTTGTCTCTTTTTTTTGTTGTGTACGCGAGAGTGTTTTTCGGTACGATTTAATTACCATTTTCTGTGTGCTGTTGTTCTCCTAGTTAATATGAAATCAAAGCGCAATTAACTGAAGGGATTTTCTTCTGAAGAGAAGGCCCCACTCCAGTCAATCTTTTTGCATCTTAATAAGAATAAATTTGTTATTGCCCTTCCGTTGTTGCTTTGAGCGGGCGTGTGACTTATTGACTAAGCAATACAGACTTGTTGCTTAACATGTACATATGTATGTATGCCACGAGCATGTTCTGCGGAGGGTCCAAAACCTGGACTCGAATCTTTAGTGACACGTTCGAGTGAGTATTGAGTATCAGCCTGCACTTGCACAAATTCGCCCTCGGAAACCTTGGAGCTGTCGCTTATGAAATGATTTCACTTCGTCTCTTCTGCATATTGGAAAGGGTATATCCATTTTGCCGAGTTATACCCAATGCCGGGTTTGGCTGAGGCAGACTGAAAGCAAACCCAACATGGCAGGGGAAATATTACTCTCCTAAGTTGATACTACTTATTTATTCACATTTAATTCATACAATTCAATAACTTGATATTGGATTCAACTTTATTTCCGTTGGACCATTGCTGATTGGTTATCGATTGATATTATATAACATTTATTTATTTACTCTCCTGGTATCACTCGAATTAAACTATGCCATAAGACCCCTAAAACGTACATATGTACATGTGTACATACATACATACATACATATGTATGTACATATATTCGTATTAGTTTGGCTTAGAGCAGAAAATGTACTTCCTCGTTGACATCATTTATCGGGAACAAAATGCAGTCACAAATCAGTGACTAAATTCGATTAAACTTTAATATTAGATGTAGTGAGAAGCGTGATCTTTTATTTAAAAGCTAAAAATAATATTAAAAAAAGGACTGACCAAGTCTTTAACCAAGATATCATCAAAAATAATTTAATTGTATCCAAATTTTGTATATACTATGTACATACATATGTATGTACATATGTAATATTGATTCGTTGTGAAAATTCACCGTACATATGTATGTACGAGGAGAGTAAATAAATAAATTTTATAATATTGTAAGCTATCAATCGATAATTAAATTTGACGATATCTTGATTAAAGACTCAGTCTCAGGAAGAAATTTAAGAAGGATTTATAGAAAAAATTCGGTATCAAGCGGTGCGGTGCTGTGCGGTTGAGCTTACGCGTTTTGTTATATTTTAATTTGCATAGTATGGTAATTAGCTAATGCACTTTTCATGCCCGTTGAATTCGGGTTTTGACTTTGAGATTTGGTTTTTAATGTTGTTTGTGTGTCTTTCTTTTTTGTTTTGTCTTGTTTTCTTTGCCTTATAGTCTCCGGCTTAGGCAAATGCTAATATTCAAACTCGGAGTTGGCAGAGCGAACTCACAGCTACAACAGTAAAAGCGCGAACGACTATAAAATAGAACCTGACCCACAAAAACACATTAGCACACACACAGCCCCTAGCAAAGCAAAGCTAGAAAAGCTGAGGTGAAGGTCACACGTTGTCAAATCAATGAATATGTTTTGGCATCAGAATGTAGACCAAGCACAGCAGCAGCAGCAGCAGCAGCAGCAGTCGCAGTCGCAATCCCAGCAGAAGACTCCTGGTGAAGCGACCGCGAAGCGTTTCAACATTAGCTTCAATGTTAAAATTGCTGTGAACGTGAACACGAAGATGTCCACCAACCACATCAACCAGCAGTCGTCCCCGACAGCTACGACATGCCAGAGAAAGCATAGCGTCCAGCATCAGAGCAGCAGGTTTGATCTGCGTGAGCAGGTGACGCGCCTGGGCCGCCAGTTGGCCAGCGGCCAAGACGGACATGGGGGCATATCAGCGATTTTGATTGTAAATCTCCTGCTGTTGATCCTGCTGTCGATCTGCTGCGATGGGTGTCGCTCCCAAGATGGCCGGCACTTTAATTACTCAGGCTTGCCACAAAAGTTCAAGGACCATCTGAGTCTGTTGCCAAAGCTGGACAGTGACGTAGTGGAGAAAGTGGCCATATGGCACAAGCACGCAGCAGCCGATCCGCCCAGCATAGTGGAGGGCATTGCCATCAGCAGCATATCCCGACCAGTACCAGAACCAGCACCAGCACCAGCGCCAATGGCAGAGTTACCAGAGGATGGAATCGATGGAATCGATGAGCGTGTGGTCCTGGAACGCGTCACACGTGAGTGTGTGCAGCGTTGCATTGTAGAGGTGAGTAACTGTCTAGGGCTGTCATTCAGTGGCGTAGCTAGGTAGCAAAGGGCCTCGGTGCAAAGAAAATTGGGGCCCCAACTAAAGTCAGATACATTATCAGATACATGGCATGCAGTAAATCGAATCTTTATACCCTTACTCAAAAAGAGTTGTATTTGTGGTAAAAGTGGATGTGTTCTACGCAGAGAAGGAAACGTTTCCGACCCCATAACGTATATATATTCTTGAACAGCATCAAAGGCCCATCCGATATGGCCATTTATATCTGCCCGTCCGTCTGTCCGTCCGTCCGACTATCCGTCTTGATGAGCGCCTAGTTCTCAGAGACTCCAGACTCATGTGATATCACACTGCTACACTGATATGCTGGCATTTCAAACAGAAGTGTGGAGTGACAAATTTTGTAGTGATTTTCTGGCCAGTGTCTGGGGCCCCTGAGCTTGGAGGTCCCTGAGCTTGGGGGACCATCAAGCTCGAGGGCCCCGGTGCGCCGGACCGTCTTGCAACCTACGTAGCTACGCCACTGCTGTCATTACTCTTTGTATTTATGCATAAATCAGGAATGGAAATCAACAATTACATGTGTATGTACACATATAGGTACATATGCATATACATACATATGTATGTATGTATGTGCGCAGGGCTAAAACTCGATTGAAAGCTAGTACATAAAATCAGCAAAAATCTGAACAACTGTATTACAAATTCGATGAACTAAGCTCTCTAGTGTCGTTAAAATATTTAATTTATCATTTACATATGTACATTGTACATATGTACATACTAACTTGTAGGTACAATCATATCAGTACCCGCACAACTCAGCTGTGTTCTCATTATTTTATCCGGCATACACCAACTTAACTTGCTGATTGTTAAAGTTAGTCGGGTACACACACGCAGAGAAGCTGGACGCATGCTGTAGAGGTTAATTAAATTATGTGTAATATGTACGTGCATAGTACATATGTATGTATGCATGTGTGTACATACAGTGACGGACATTAGCAGTAGAGCAGCAATATCTTTTCAGCTTACTGCTCTTTAAGAGTTTTTCATTACTTTGTCTTTACTTTCTCCGATAATTGAACCAATTTTCTACAAGATGTGCTCATTTTTATGATTTAATTTTATTGCACTATTTTGTACAATTTCTTAAGCGAACAGAGGTCTAAAGCTAGACAAACAAAAGTATTGGCCCGCAATTAGCACCTTTGAATGAGCTATATACATATGTTCTGGCAATATTCCCCATATGGCCACTACTTTTTGGAAAAGGATTGTTATAAACCTGTGAAACTGTTCAATTTGCCATCCCAAAGTACCTTCAATATTGGTCAAATTGATTACATTTAGAAAACTTAGAGGTAAAATAAACAGAAATCGAAGGTGGGACTGAGGTAAAGAAGCTTGCAAAATTTAGACGTGAGCTTTTTTTTTTTGGCCAGAATCAACACTTGACCACTAGTACATATCATACAGCTGTGTGAGTGTGAATAAGATCCGAAAGAGAGGGACGGGACCACCTTGTACCATTTCATCATGGGCCAAACTAGCAGCCACTTCATTTACAAGAGAGCCCCTTGCTCCGGTGCAGTTTTTGAACTATGTATTTCGCAGCTATTAGAAAAGTTTTTGGCTACGCGCACCGTAAGGCTATTTTCTTTGTTGGAATTCACAGACTCCAACCTACATATGTACATGCATATATATTGTGTGTAGCTCTGTATCAAAAATAAGCTTTATCATTATTTGGATTACCTACGCTCAGCGTAACTGCAATTTGCATACACGTCCATACATTCTTGTATTTTTGTATGTACAGTGTACATATGTACATACAGATGCGTATGTGAGACCATTTGAATTGGTCGCATTACAGCAACGACGCGTCGCGTCATCAAACTCTCTGCGTCACATGGAGCTTTTCTGATGCGGCATTTCATATTTGATTGAATTCGTCTATTTGTTAGTTTTTTAACTAACAAACGCACCGACTTGGGTCGGGTGACCAACTTATACTTACATATTCCATAAAAATAACAACTCTTCAATGCGAAACAACGCTAAAACTAGCTCCGGCAGATGATAATGCGGCCTTAATTCCAAATCACTTTCTATTAGGCTCGGCTGATGGATACAAGCCAATATGCGGTGTCGACAGGGGCTTGCGACAGCGCTGGAACCAAACTCAGCTTTTCGGCGACAATTTCTGGAAGCGTTTGGTCAAGGAACTTACCCAGTTACTCACCAGACGCATAAAATGGTTTGAGAACGCTGATGAGTTCGGCTTCCATGGGTGCGCTCCGCAGAGTTTCATCGTAGAATGAATAGTTTGGGCATATGGCTTTTAGCACACTTTCCGTTCACCTGATAAGGCGCTCCCAGGTGCACCCCACCCGGAGGATTAAAGTGCCATTTAATGTGACCGTACTTCACCGAGATATCGTCGCAATCCCACGATATGGATTCTTCTTTCAGTTCTTCTTTCAGTGCCTTTTCTGTAGATCTAAAGTTGGTTCCGTTGTCTGAGAAATTTCTGATGGATTCCCAACATATGTATGTATGTCAGATATCCTTAAATCCTTAAATTAAAAATAATAAATAATGATAACAATATTATAAATAAATATAATTATTATTGAGGATCTCCCACGATTTAACGATTAACACAAGCCAAGCCCGTCAGAGGCGACGTAAAATATGATATACATGTATGTACATTGTACATAGTATGTATGTATATGTATGTACATATATAGCTGTCATAGCAATGATATTAAAATAATTAAAAATGAGTTCTCAGCTCAATCGTAGGTACTATTCATTAGCGTGTCAAATATTATTTTATCAGATAACTCTACTATCATAAACATTCCATAAGTAGGAATAACACTATTATCTGCATGGCAATTCGGATGAATATTATTTCATTGGAAAATAACCTCATCTAGGGTAGATTGTAGTGCCGGGGGGATATCATTGCGGGGCTGAAGCTATGAAGCGGCACATAAAGCCAGAGCGTACATATAAATGTATGTATGTTTGTATATGCATCAATTTATGTATGTATGTAGATGTCAATTAGTACTATGTATACTATCTGAAAATTTGTAATACATAGTGGAGTGGAGTTGCATTTTAATCAGTGCTTCGGTTACACTTCATTCATTAGCGAAACGCCATTGTAATCCACTCTTACCCAGGCCATCAATGTAGTTTGGCTCAATTAAAATTAATGACGAACCATCGTGTTCTGTGATTGCCCTAAATGAGCGTGACATGAGCAAGAGATCTGAGAGAGGAATGGGCGGACTGAGAGCAACGTTCAAATATAAAAATGTTCAAATAAAAAAATGTATCCTATTCGAAGGGCTTTTAGTTTGTTACACATTATCCTTTTTTCTATGAGCACTTAAATCGTTTCATTGTACATGCACGTACTACATACATATGTACATATTTGCATTTATACATACATATGTATTTACATATATACAGCGCCTCTCAACTGAGTAGTGGCTGATTCCCCATTACCCTCACGAGCATCACTGAGAGGTACACCACCTCTGGAGACCTTTTTTGTTCCAACTATTTCATTCCAAATTAATAAATCTTTACAAAAGAAAAACTATTTCAACTACTCGGCCTGTCTTCACTGTCCATTGAGTTTTAGGACGCTAATTAAGACGCTGCGTAGAAATATTTGCTCGGCATTCCATGCTTGAATCTGGAGCATGCCCCCCATAGATTCTGGACCTGGAATTCGTTTCGATTAGAAAAGCTTGTGCACACAAAAGAGATTTCGCTGAGACGTTTTGCCTCCCGCTCATCGAGAGTGTGCAAAATGCTTTGCCAATTTATAAACGCTGTGGCATACATGTATGTATGTACTCGTATTCGTGTTCCTGCGCTTGCTTTTCAGAGCCTGGCGAGGTAGCAAAAGCAACACGAACACAATGGTGTCAATAACACACTAACCCAGTCAGAGTGCTGTGTGGGGCTCGGTCCGTGAGTTTTCGAGTTAATGTAGTAGAAACTGCACAACAAAAGATGAGCAATGACGACATGAAAACCCCCAACGCCAATTAGTCGGCTTGCCCACCCAATTTCTATCATGTTCCCGTTCTCATTCTCAATCTCCTTGTTCCATTGCCATCGTGAGTTGCGAAAGCTTCAGCTCTTAATAGCTATTTGTGTTTGTGAAAAAGCCAATCAAGCTAAATTAATAAATACTACGTAGAATTTAAAGGAAAAATAAATTAAAGCACAGAAACCAGAAACATATTCTGAGCAAGCTCTGCTGGAGTGTGTGGAGTGCTGCTCGAAGCAATTAGCTTCCGCTAAGGAAAATTATACCTAATTACAATATAAAACAGCACAGAAAACTCTGGACCTAAGCCCGTCATCGAGGAGTTAAGGGGTATATTAGATTTGTGGTCAAACTGAATGTGTGTAGCGCACAGAAGGAATGGATCAGCATCAATACCCGAGTCGATATAGCCATGAAATAAACTTGTAGCAGAGTGATATTACATGAGTCTGGAAACAAAATTTGGTTGCTCTAGCTCTTATAATCTCTGAGATCTAGGCGCTCATCGGGACGGACAGACGGACATGGCTATATCGACTCGGCTGGTGATGCTGAGCAAGAATATATATACTTAATAGGGTAGGAAACCCTTAAATCTTTAGGTACGGGTATAAAAATTCCACATAAATCATAAGCTCACATATACACTGACTGAGTACAGGTTTAAAAGTAGAGTAGCGGCCACCGCAGCGACTCATAACGTTCCCTATCTTCTTCTTATAGACTTGGGGAACTAAAAACGTACATATAATGAACCAGAGGGCCGTGCCACGTTTCTTTGTGGAACATTTTGGTGGTATGGATGAGAAATGAAGAAAAAAAACAAAGCATTCTTTCAAAACTATTCATAACTTATTTCTGAGTTTTTTTGTGGGTTTGTAGATACGTAATCTTCATATCGTTTTATCTTGCTTAGACGATATCGTCTTAAACGACGCCTAGTGCCACAGCGTTTTCAAAGCAGGGATGAAAGCATCTCTATACTGGAACTAATACTAGACGTCGTTCTTTCTTTGCTTACTCTTCTGTTTTTCTCTGTGTTCCCTGTTCTTGTGTATAATTTGGTGTTGGTTTTGTAACCTTTTTACATGTGTATGTGTGTTAATATTTTAAGAAACGAAACGAAAAAAACCAAACTCAAAATGCGTTTCAGCCGTTAAGCGCTAAGAACACTCAGCCAAATAGTCCGCTTTCTGGCCAAACTTTAGTGCATGCAAATTAATTTGGGTTAATCGACCCCCAACCCCCTTCGACTATTTATCGCACATATCACACACATATGTATGTATGTATGCTCCAATCTGAATATCTCAACTCCTGGCAACGCCCCTGCTCACAGGCCTAACCTGTTTTGGGTATATCTTGCTCTCGGGCTTATTCAGTTAAACTTATAAAAAAATATAAAATAAACTTATAAATAAGACTGAATAGTTAAAAGTCTGACTATCAATTACCCGCCACTCGGAAACTACTATACCCCTTAACAATTAGTCGAAAATGATGTGCAATGCCATCAATGCATTACAACGTGTGAAAACAAGAAAAGACAGAAGGAAATGAACACTACAGAATATACATACATGTGTGTGTACGTATATAATATTATATGATGTACATTGTAAAGAGGTAAACAATATACACTTCAATTCTGAGAGTATACAAAAAACACAAATGAAATTAAACAATTTTAATTTGCCTCTGGATACTGACACTGTCGCAGAGTTCAAATTCGATCTCTAGCCATTCCCATGCAATGCAGCAGTCACTTCCGTTCCCATGACCTATAATTTTATTTACTTATTGGTTTGTGGCTTTTTAAAATTTATTTTTGCAACTTTTCCAGGAGGATTTATTTCTGGACGAGTTTGGAATCAAGTGCGAAAAGGCGGACAGCAGCGAGAAGTGCTACAAAACACGCGTAAGTGGAGAAACAAGGGTGCCAAATGACATGTGATAGCCATAAGACGAAATGAAATGAAAGAATGGAAAATGATCAGGGGTAATGTGAACCCTTTTCAGGCCCCAAAAGGAAGGCGAGACGTTTGTTAACCGCGAAAGGGAGAGTATTTTTCGATGTGGTTGAGTTTTTATTTTTATTTTGGTGCTCGATTTCAGTATGAGACGAATTCTAAGTGCGCGTCTCTGCAATTAACACTTCTCATATAGGATAATTAAGAAGCCCTCGTAAATTATTCTACTTACATATGTATACCTTTTACTCATAGAGTGCAGGATATACAAAAAACAGGAAGGAATCCCGTCGATCCCGGCGGCAGAATTTATATAACTATGTATATTCTTAATCATCAGTAATAGCGGACCAAATGTATCCATATCTGTTTGTCCGTTTTGTTTGGCGCCTAGTTCTCATGCTGCCCCAACTTCTTCTGCATGCTGATTAGTAGAAAAACTTTTGTTTAATTTATGTTCCATATTTTTTTCTATAATGATGTGATGTTTTTTTTCGAATTAATCCTTTGTTTTACCAAGGAAAAATGCAAATCAACAAAATTGTTCCGCTTCAAACAAAGCCAACTTTTTTATACCCGTACTCAAAAAAGAGTTGAGGGGTATATTAGATTTGTGGTAAAAGTGGATGTGTGTAACGCAGAGAAGGAAACGTTTCCGACCCCATGTAGACCCCCAAGTAGATATATTCTTGATCAGCATCAATAGCCGAGTCGATAGAGCCATGTCTGTCTGTCCGTCTGTCCGTATGTATATACTGACTGAGTACGGGTATAAGTAGAGTCGTGTCCCCAGAAACGACTCACACGTTCCTTCTCGTTTTTTTTTATAGATTTGAGGCTTAAAAAAAGCTTAATGACATTTTATTTTGTTTTCTATAGCAGCAATTTTTTAAAGAATAATTTTTTCAGAGTTATCGCCCTTTTTTTTCCACATTACTTAAGTATCTTCCTTCTGGTTGTAATTTACTATGCCATGCTATAACGCTAACGAGATGGTACGTGTGAGTCGCTTCTGGGGGCGCAACTCTATTTTTATACCCGTACTCAGACAGTATATCAATTTTTGAGCTTATGCTTTGGGAAGACTATTAAAAAATTGTACATATTACATTTTTTTTGCTACATCTGTTATCTATATCTTCAATGTATATTCTAAATCTAAGATGTAGATTCTGTACCATTTAGATTCTACATCTTCACCGATACGATATGGTCAGTCTCTACGATACTGCGTTTTTAGTTTTATCGTATCTTTAAAATTGCGCCTGCTAAAGATTTTCCTCCTTTGCGGGGGCGGGGCGAAATTTCGAAATACACTTGTAGCACTGTGAGATAAAAAATGAGTCTGGAAACAAAATTTGTTTGCTCTAGCCTTTATAGTCTCTGAGAACTGGGTGCTCATCTAGACGGACATATGGACGGAAAGACGGACGTCTTTACGTCTATACACATCCACTTTTACCACAAATACAATATACCCCTTAACCCTTTTTGAGTACGGGTATAATTGAAGCAGATATAAAGTGGACTGTTGATTAGCTTACCTTCTGGAAAATATCAAGCTTTCAAACGAAAAATTGATTACACAAGGGAACAAAATTAAACTTGTTATGTGTTGATTGAAAACTGATTGAAGTATTGAAGTATATGATCTCCATTTTTTTTCCATCAGATCGCGTTTTTAAGTTACAGGTTTTAATAGTGTTATTGACTTTTTTCCATCAACAAAAGTTCAAAAAGTCATAACTTTACTGCTCAATGACCTCAGTGACAAAACCGTTGTGTTATTTTTGAGAGGTATATTTTTCAAAAATTGTACTTTAAAAACTCAGGAAAAGACGAATTAAATTAATTTTGTTTGTATTTTATTAATTTTTGTTAACTGAAGTCATAACGACACTGACAGTTAGGCCGTTGAAACGTTCCAAATGTCCAAATGAGATTTTCAGGGGGTTTGTCAAATAACACTAGTCAACACTAGAATTAGGCTGTGGCCCAAAATAACTTTTTCTTATAGATTTCGGGGCTTAACAATTTTTGAAACGAATTATAGTTTTTTTTTATGGTGTAGTTTTTGTTTTAAAGAATTTTTTAAAATCTGGTTTTTTTTAATGTTTTTTTTCAGAGGTAGTGCTTTTATTTTTCACATAACTTAAGTATCTTATATTCCTGTTTGATAGAACTTTGCAGTTCTGAAAAGCTGACAAATGCAGCTAAAAATGCGGCTCAGATCCCTTGTATCTGCAGCTTAACGCCTGAAAGATATTAAGCTTTCAAATTTAAATTTCATCATTTTTTGGTATATTTTATTTTATTTTTTTCGAAATTTTGACTTTAAAAGCTCGGAAAAAGTCGAAAAAGAAATCATTCTTAGCCAACATGGTTTGGTTTTAGATAGACGCATTAATTAGGCGTCGTTTAAAGTATTGCTCATTAAAATCGATGGCTAAACGGTCAACTTGCAGCCGTTTGACCAAAACGACTTAAAACTAATTTTACCTGTTTTAATACCGTTGATGGTCCAAAGCCAAAGGAACACGTTCAGGTACCAAAAATTCAACCCCTTTTCGTTTGCTTTGTTTCCAATGAGCAGTTGGGCCCGCAACCTTCCAAATTGACTATTTTTTCACTTTTGAGGTTTGGTTAACGAACTTCAGCTCCACCGTTTATCCATAGATTTTAAGCGATGCTTGATTAATTCACCTATACACAAAAAATACAAAGACACAAGATTGATTTTTTTTCCGACTTTTCTGAGTTTAGTAGGTAAAATTTAAAGAGAATTATCAATTTTGCATTTGAAAGCTTGATATTTCCCAGAAGGTAACCCGCAGCTACAAAGTATTCTTGTCTACTTTAAAGCTGAATTTATTGGCTTTTCAGAATGTCAAGGTTCATTACTACCAGATGTTTAATTTTTTTGTTTGGACTTTGATATGCAATGACTGCACCATCAAGTGGCCCATGCGACACCAATCCGCCCATTACGCGCGGAACCCAGTCAGAAACGCAGCCATCAACCACAACCGCCCAACCGACTAAGGGGCGCTGCCGTGGGACTCGTGTAACCAAACCGATCGCAATAAGCCTTTTCATTTTTTTTCGAGAAAAAACGAGAAGGAACGTGCGAGTCGCTTCTGGGGACGCGACTCTACTTATACCCGCACTCAGTCAGTATATATATTTTTCATTTTGATTTAATTTTTTCGAATTTTAGAATTAAAAAAAAGTTTACACTTTACATTTTTTTGCTACATCTATTATCTACATCTACATCTACAATGTATATATACATCTCCTCCGCTAGGGGTTGCTCGCGCACTGAACGCGGCAGAGTGTGCGAGCGAGAAAGAGAATGAGTAGCGTTTCTCTAGCAGGAGGGGGCGGAAGAACCAACAGAAAATTATTTTCTTTATTCTGGCTATAATTATGATCCAATCTAATTCAGATTCGGCAATTTGGTAGATATGGGCATTCTCTACGATACTGCGTTTTTAGTTTTATTCTATTTTTAAAATTGTGCCTGGCACAGATTTTCGTCCTTTGTGGTGGCGGAAGGGGCGGGGCGAAATTTTGAAATACACTTGTAGCAGTGGGATATCATATGATTCTGGAAACCAAATTTGGTTTCTCTAGCTCTTATAGTCTCTGAGATCCAGGCGCTCAACGAGACGGACAAACGGACAGACGGACAGACAGACAGACGGACATGGCTCTATCGACTCGGCTATTGATGCTGATCAAGAATATATATAGTTCTATGCGTTACACACATCCACTTTTACCACAAATCTAATATACCCCTTAACTCTTTTTTGAGTACGGGTATAAAAAGTTCAAAAGAAATAGCAATCAGACCCATGATACAATTGTATAAGGTGGTCTCGTCGGCAAAAGCAGTCCCTTAACAGTGCTTACAAAAAAGCTTTATCTTTATCAAGCTAGCACACATTGAACGTTAGGGGACTAAAAACCGAACGATTCGGCAGCCGACGAGACCATCTTATATAATTGCATCATGGTTTCCCCCATCACCTTTGTCCTACGACCTCCCCATTGACGAATAAATCTGCGCCTTTTGCGAAAAGCTATACAAGAAGGAAGAGAGCACGTGTGCAGCGATTTACAACGTTTTGTGTTGGTTTTCATTAAAAATGTGCCTGACTACGCTAATTGACTCTCCGCTCGCATAGAAAGCTCTCCATTTTAATCCATTCAAATCCATTCCGCAGTGCACCAAGGGATGTGCTCAATGGTACAGAGCCCTTAAGGAGGTGGAAACCTGCCAAGAGGCTTGTGTAAGTGCAAATTCATCTCTTATATCCGTAAAGATTTTCTGATCACGACTGTTTCCAAATGGCTTGCCAGTCCTCGCCGCACTTCTATTCCCACGACATGCCCTGCATAGGGGCCTGCGAGATGTCCCAGCGGAATTATTGGCTCTTGCAGCGCTTGGCCATGACTCAGACAGTGCAGAGGACGCAACCGCAGTTGGTGCAGACCCCCAGTCAGGATCGACAGGACACGCCGCTGACCATCAAGTGGGCCATGCACTTTCCGGAGCATTACCTGTCCAGCCGACCCTTCAACATCCAGTACCAGTACGCGGACCTCCATAATGAGCAGAATGACGAGAAGGGGCAAAAGAAAGAAGGGACATGGATAAATTTGGCAGATTATGACTGCGACGAGTACTACGTCTGCGAGATTCTTGAGCCCCTGACGCCTTATACACAGTACAGAGTAAGTATGAATAATTTATTGCCTCTGAAATGATGGTTCACTCGCCATAATAATAACCTATGTATATTTTATTATCGGACCATTTTTAATACCACATTTCCATTAACAGCACTTAACGTTTAGTGGATGATGTTGTTCTTACTTTGATTTTACATATCCCACGTTCACGGATGACTGTAAATATTCATTTCATTTGAAAAATCTGTATATCCATTTCAACATATATGTACATATGTATTATACATATATGTATGTCAAACATCCAGTCCATGACACTGTATTGAAGTGTATTCAAACCTTAAAAATATTAATAAAATCCTTCATATTTACAGCACAATTTAAAGAATCGAATTCGAATTGTTTTTACAATTCTTTATTAAGTTTAGCATAAATTTTAGAAATATTACTAAAAATATGCATTGAAGGAGATAAAGGAAAAAAGTTCAATTGAAATAACTCTAAATACGGTTCTGAAAAAGTGCGAAGCTTGAATACGTAATACGGAATACTCGTAATGAAAATTAGTTTTTATTACTGACTGTGATCGCGAGCGCATGCCGAACTAATTTTCAAAACTCAGCCGGAATTTATATAACTGAAAAAATTGCAAAAATGAGGTGGGTTTTGAGTGATTTCATAAACAAAGAGTTAAATAATTGGAAAAACATTACAGACCGAACCAAAACTTTTATTTTCGATGCTGCTATGAGATCTCGAATTCATCGTTTTCTTTAGATTGTGCTGTAAGGATTGGCGAGTGTATGTATCCTGGATCCTCCTTCTCGTCTCAAAAACAGGACAAACTGACAAAAAAAAAAGAAGCGGAAAAAAGGATGAATATATTTTTAAAAATATAATAACAGGAAAAAAGTTTTGTTGTTTATAGGTCTACTTTTGATAGTGTTTAAACTCATTTAGGAATTTCAAGTTTTAGAATCGAATCGCGAGCTTTTGTTCCCTCTTCATATGAGGCATTTGTGCCTTGTTTTCAGGTATTTCTTTGTTATTTTATAGTTCTGGCAGCATGCACCGATCCAGCGTAATGAAAGCAAATTGTTCAACAGTCGAGTCGATATAGCCGTACCTCCGCCTTGTTTGTCGCCTAGATTTCAGAGACTATAGGAGCTAGAGCAACCAAATTTGGTTTCCAGACTCTTGTGATATCACCCGCCCCCTTCCGCCTTTACAAAGGACGAAAATCGGTGGCAGCCACAATTTCGAAGATACGATAAAACTAAGCGCAGTATCGTAGAGAATGACCATATCTACCAGATTATAGCCAGAGTAAAGAAATTAATTTGCAGTGGCTACCCCCACCTACTCTGGCGATGCTGACGCTACTTATTCTCTTTCGCGCTCGCACACACTCTGCCCTCTGCAATGCGCGAGCGGCCTCTAGCGGAGAAGATGTAGAATCTAAAGTTAAACGTATAATCTACATTTTAGATGTAGAATATACACTGTAGCTGTATATGTACATAGCAGATGTAGCAAAAAATGGAAAATGTAAATTTTTTTAAAATTCTACATAAATCATAAGCTCACAAATTTATATACTGACTGAGTACGGGTATAAAAGAGTCGTGTCCAAAAAAGCGACTCACACGTTTCTTCTCGTTAATGAATATTTCCGTGTATTTATCTTAACATTATTAATATTAAATGCGCAATAACGAAAGTTAAATTAAATTAGTTGAAAGTACATTAGGTAATGAGTACCTAATGAAATCCAGTTCTCAACTTCGCTGTCTCTATATATAATTGTCATTGGAGGCTCTGTATACTTTGCGTATACTTTCATAACGAAAGTGGCCAGATCTTTTAGGGATTGTGTTGGCTTTGCTGTTCCGATATATACACGAAGAATCCTGTTTGCGCAAGTTAGCCGAAATAAATGTGCCAGGGTCCCTGGGTCTTTGCTAGCCAAGTTTTGTGAGACAGTACCATCAGAAACTGCGGAGAATGTGTTATAAAAATATTTTTAATCGCCGCTCAACAAACCACTATCGACGATTGGCAATTTAATTGGTATGGTATCAAATGCGTCTTGTTTTAAATCACGACATTTTTCGAGCATTTTGCCAATGCTGCCAGTAAAGCTTTCAAGGCCTATTGTGGTACCGTCCACAGCAATAAATAAATGGCGAAGTGGTAATTCATTCGCATGCAACAAGCACACACCCCACTGTAAGGGTCGATTGAGATTTATTTCCAATAAGCAAACGACTCCATTTTTATGTCCAATGTTAACAGCAGTTCCATCACATCCAAATGCCGCAAGAGAAGGAAGATATTCCTATGATTTTTTTTTTTTTTAACTCGAAAATATTTTTTCCAATTGTGGCTGCCTCTCCCGAATCAATGGAAAGATGACTAATGGACTCTGAGCCTGGCTCATATATTAATGATACATGTTCTTCAGTGGTGGTTTTTCGAGAATAAATATTTTCATAACAGGTCATAAATAAAGTTTTGTCTGTACGACCGTCAAAATAAATAACTACAAATCTTTGCGAACTTTTTCGCGCTTAATCTTACTTGGGTCTATTACATTTTATTTTTATTTGTGATTATAATTTATGTTAATGTTTGTTATCTGTTGTTCCTACCAAAAGTACTATTTTTTAAATTGCTCTTAGTTTTAAGCGACGCAGAGAAAAATTTAGTTTGAAAAAAAACTATTTGGCATATGACATTTCAAACCATTTTTATGCAGAGCCTCAAGATGAAGTGATAGAACTTTGATTTTTTGTACACATTTTTATGAGGTAAACGATTAACACAGGAGTTAAGAAAAATAAAATTATTTTTGTTTGGCAGTTTCACTCCTCCCTAATGTACATATGGGCAATTTCGCCGAATGGTCAACCAGGACCGAAAAAATAAAATTTTTATGATCATCGTATTTTGTTGTGTATATCTATAAAGAAGTGTTCAAATTTGTATCCAGTGGTTTTCATTTGGAAATTGGCCTGAATTCTGGAAAATGTTATTTATTCACTTTAATCTAATTTTAAAGACATTTTTACACTCTTTTTACCAAATCTCTTTATTGAAATCTGTTGAGAAGATAAAAAGGCAAAGATACCGAAAAAACTTTAAATTAACGGTTCATTTTTATTTGTATTCTTATCTACATATGTTAATTTTTTTATTTTCATATACATATTCCTAACGCTACAGTATTGCTGTGGCACAAAGTGTTCACACACATAGATATTTTCAAAACAGTATTATTAACCTTTGTTTGGCTATTAAGCGTTTTTATTAGCCGTTGAAACTCAATTATTATTAAGAACGAGAAGGAACGTGTGAGTCGCTTCTGGGGACGCGACTCTACTTATACCCGTACTCAGTCGGTATATACATTTTTGAGCTTATGATTTTTTAGAATTTTAAAATTAAAAAAAAAATTGTACATCTTACATTTTTTTGCTACATCTGTTATATACATCTACAATGTATATTTTACATCTAACATGTACATCTCCTCCGCTGGGGGTTGCTCGCGCACTGAACGCGGGAGAGTGTGCGAGCGAGAAAGAGATAGGTAGCGGGTCTCTGACAGGAGGGAGCGGAAGAACCAACAGAAAATTAATTTCTTCATTCTGGCTATAATTATGATCCAATCTAATTCAGATTCGGCAATTTGGTAGATATGGGCATTCTCTATGATACTGCGTTTTTAGTTTTATCGTATCTTTAAAATTGTGCCTGCCACAGATTTTCATCCTTTGTGGGGGCGGAAGGGGGCGGGGCGAAATTTTGAAATACACTTGTAGCAGTGTGATATCACATGAGTCTGGAAACAAAATTTGGCTGCTCTAGCTTTTATAGTCTTTGAGATCCAGGCGCTCATCAAGACGGACGGACGGACAGACGGACAGACAGACATGGCTCTATCGACTCGGCTATTGATGCTGATCGATAATATATATACTTTATGGGGTCGGAAACGTTTCCTTCTCTGCGTTGCACACATCCACTTTTACCACAAATCTAATATACTCCTTAACTCTTGTTTGAGTACGGGTATAAAAAGTCTAGCGTTTCAATGGGCAATGTTGTAAAATGTATTTCCTATTGTTAAGGTAAAGTAGGCGTCAGTATGGCCGATATAATAAAGTGATGCGATGGATACGAAGGTTATGAAGATCAATACCAGACTAAAAACAGGGCAGACAGACCGAATTGCCCGTGCCCTATGCAAGCATCCTAGAAGAGAGCCAAACCACTAATTACACTAGTCAACACGATTTTTCCTCAAGGAACAAAACGAACTTTTTCTTAAAGATTTGGGGCTAAGAAATGGCTGTAATCACAAAGTGTTTGGGCTTAACTTCTAGCTGTTTTAATTATCTTTTCAAAATAGCAAAGTTCTTTACAACCAGACGTAAGATCGTGCTATGTGAAAAAAAAAAGTGCTTACCTCTGAAAAAAGCTTTAAAAAAAATACTAGTTTTCAAAAATTCTTCAAAAAAAAGTTCTGCCATAGAAAAAAAAAAAATCATCACCTTCCTTCCTTCCAGGCCCGACTTTTCCTAGTTTTTAAAGTCAAAATTTCGTAAAAAATACCGCACAAAAATCATCATTTTTGCATTTCAATGCTTTATATTTCCCAGACGTTAAGCTGTAATCACAAAGTGTTTGGGCTTAACTTCTAGCTGTTTTAATTATCTTTTCAAAATAGCAAAGTTCTTTATAACCAGACGTAAGATACTAGAGCTATGTGAAAAAAACAAGCGCTACCTCTGAAAAAAGCTTTAAAAAAAAAATACCAGGCTTCAAAAATTCTTCAAAAAAAAGTTCTGCCATAGAAAAAAAACCATAATTCTTTAAAAAATTTTAAATCCCCATATCTATCAGAAAAAGTCGGTTTGGATCCTTGAGGAAAAAAAAAGTTCGATTTTGTCGAGTAGTGTTATTACCTAAAGATTTTACGACTAAATACCGGGCTGAGAAACCCGGCAACCTTTTCTATTAAAAATTTTTATAAATATTATTGTTTATATATTAACATTTATTTATGGTTCTATTTTTTTATTATTAATTTTTTTTATTTAAAAGTTACTTCTTTTATTTTTATTTATGTATTTTTTAGTTTTGTCGTTATTTTTATTTTATTTGTTTATGTTTAAGAGTATTTATTATTATTTTTTAATATTTTTTTATTTTGTTAAGTGTTTATTAAGTATATTTCTAGTTTTTCCCTAAATTGCATTGCTCTGCAAAGCACTTATAGCACTTATTAAAATTAAAAAAGCAAAGTTCAATTTATCGTATAAATAGCTCGGCTGTCTGGTATACACAATTGTTCTGTACCCTGTCCATGTCTTTAAATCCATCTTAAATATTTTTCTTGCTAAAATTGAGATATGATCAGTTCGTCTCTTATTGTAGGTGTAATGGGCAATACTGCTAAATGCTACTTCTAGTTTTCTATGAGATTCAGCATCACAATTTCCAAATATTTCTATTCCATAAAATAAGGTGGGTGTTAAATACGTCTTGGCTACACTACTCGACAAAAAATTGGAGATTTAAATTTTTTTTAAAGAATTATGGTTTTTTTTCTATGGCAGAACTTTTTTTTGAAAAATTTTTGAAGTCTGGTATTTTTTTTAAGCTTTTTTCAGAGGAAGCGCTTGTTTTTTCACATAACTCTAGTATCTTACGTCTGGTAAAAAACTTGGCTATTTTGAAAAGATAATTAAAAAAGCTAGAAGTTAAGCTCAAACACTTTGTGATTACAGCTTACCGTCTGGGAAATATAAAGCATTGAAATGCAAAAATGATGATTTTTGTGCGATATTTTTTACGAAATTTTGACTTTAAAATCTCAGGAAGAGTCGAAAAAAAATTATATATTGTGTTTTCTATTTTTTTGTGTATAGGTGCGTTAATTTGGTTTCCATTGGGAACAAAGGAACGCGATCAGATACCAAATGTACAACCCATGTTCGTTTGCTTTGCTCCCAAATTGGCAGTTGGGCCCGCAACCTTCCAAAAGGTATTTTTTGTTCATTTTTTCCATATTTTAGGTTTGGTTTACGAATTTTAGCTCCAAAGTCTCTCCATAGATTTTAATGAGCGATACCTTAAACGACGCCAAATTCACGCACCTATACACAAAAAAATAGGGGACACAAGATATAATTTTTTTCGACTTTTCCTGAGATTTTAAAGTCAAAATTTCGTAAAAAATATCGCACAAAAATCATCGTTTTTGCATTTCAATGCTTTATATTTCCCAGACAGTAAGCTGTAATCACAAAGTGTTTGGGCTTACCTTCTAGCTGTTTTAATTATCTTTTCAAAATAGCAAAGTTCTTTACCAGACGTAAGATACTAGAGTTATGTGAAAAAAGCAAGCGCTACCTCTGAAAAAAGCTTTAAAAAAAAATAACAGTTTTCAAAAATTCTTTAAAGAAAAGTTCTGCCATAGAAAAAAAAAAAATCATCAAACCATTTCTAAGCCCCAAATCTTTAAGAAAAAGTTCGTTTTGTTCCTTGAGGAAAAATCGTGTTGACTAGTGCTATCAGTAGTTTGAGTTTTTTTTTGTAAGAATTTTTTTGTGCGGGTGCAAGTAGTCTTAGAAGACCATATGTTCTTCCACTAGCATTCGTGACCTGATTACTCCAAGAAAGCGTATTGTTAAATGTTCTTCCGAAATTTTCTGCTTGATCTACATAATTAATTTGTTTTCCTTCAATTCCAAGCTTGGGATAGCTTATCGTATTTAGCAGTTTCTTATATACTTTAAGCATTAACATTTTTATCTGGATTAAGTGCCAATTTATGTATGTTCTAATCGTACGTTCAAGAAAACATAAACAGGTGGCTGACACGTTAATACGTTATAAATAAGTTAGGTGTCGCTAACCTACCTTGGTAAAACGGCTGTACATATGTGCGCTTTGGGTGAAGTTTTTTTTCAACACCTATTTTCTTTATTAATTTAATATTTTTATTTGGTTAGCAGTTTATAACTACAAAACAAAAAAGCATAACCAAATTCAAAATGCATTTTTTTAATAACAAAAAAAGTTTTGAATGTTTCACATAGAAACGTGCTATATCAGCATAAACTTTTGCTGCAAGGGAGCCCCACAGATCCTCAATGGGATTTGAGTCCGGACCCATTGCCGGCCACTTCATCAATGGTATATTGTGGGTCTCAAAATAACCCATTGTAGCCCGGGCACTATGAGTCGGTGCATTATTCTGCTAAAATGTTCATTAAAATAAATATAAACGAGAAGGAACGTTGTGAGTCGCTTCTGAGGACGCGACTCTAATTTTCGTACCCGTACTCAGTCAGTATATAAATTTGTGAGCTTATGATTTATGTAGAATTTTAAAATATTTTACATTTTACATTTTGTTTGCTACATCTGTCATCTGCATCTACATATATGTACATCTTGGCAATAAATTGCATTTATCACCCAGTTCCGCTTCGAGCTCCCCTTCGGCGAAAGCAACGACGATGTGCTTTACTCGCCGGCCACACCCGCCTACCAGACGCCTCCTGAGGGGGCACCCATCTCGGCACCCGTTATCGAGGAACTGCTGCCACTAGACGAAAGCCACGTGGCCGTGCACTGGCATCCGGGCAGCTTCACCAACGGCCCCGTCGAGGGCTACCGCCTTCGTTTGAGCAGTTCGGTGGATAACCGAACCATCGAGCAGGTAGGCAATCTAATAACTGCCTCCTTCTGACGAAAGTAGCACTTTGCACTTCTTTCTGCAGCTGGTGGCGGTGCAGCGGGGCAACTTCATCTTCTCGCAGCTGCAAGCCCATACCAAGTACAGGCTGGAGCTGACGATGGTCAACAAGCATGGCGAGAGCCCAGCGTCCTCTGCCAGCGTCGTGACAAGTCCCGCTCGGGTTCCGCAACTGCACAAGGACCAGGGTGAAGCCCACGCCCCGAGCGTGCTTGTGGCCGGGCAGCGGAACATCGTGTGGCAGTCCTTGACGCCGGGCGGGGAGACACGACTCGTCCTTCACTCTGATCAGCCAATTGGTGACATGGCCTGGGAGCAGAAGGAGCAGCGGCTGTGGGTTGTTGACGTTCTGGGAGAGATGCGCAGGTGGGCAGTCATCAAAAAATCTCAAAGAACAAAGCACAATAGATACGAGTAGCCCTTCTTCATCCTCCTTTCCAACAGCCTGAGACTGGAGCAGGGCCAGCCGACATCTGGCATTAGCAGAGTAGAGCTGGATGGACGGAGGAACATATCCGGTGAATGGATTCCCCGAAAGCTTAGCCTGGATTGGCTCCACAGACGTCTCTACCTGGCTGTGGAGACGCCGAGTCTCAAATTTTCCCTGCTCAAAGTGGATCTGGAGAGCACAGACTTTGATGTGCTGTCCGAGGCTCTGGACCCGGTTCAGCAGATGGAGGTCGACCCTTTGAACGGTTGGCTTTTTTGGACCGATGCCGAGAGCGTTTGGCGTCTCGATTTGGCCAGCAAGGAGCGTATCCGCATTGCCAGGATCAGACAGCCGGGCTGGTTCACCCTGGACCCGCTGCACTGGCTGCTCCACCTACTGGTGGCGCAAGAGGGGAAAATTCTGGAATTCAGCTATGATGGCAGCTTCAAAGTGCCGCTGATCGCCCTGCCCGACAATTCGTCGCAGGCCTTCGCTCTCCAGGGCCGCTCCCTGCTGCTCGCTGGTGCCAGCCAGATTCAACTGTTGCTGGCGGATCAGCTCAACCACGGAGGGCTGGGCACCTGGCCGCTGCGGCACTTCCCTGACTGCTGGGGCCTTATCCTCCTCACCGCAGAGCGCTTCCCCTCGGCGCATCCCTCTGGCGTGCCTCGACGGCTGAGCGCCGTGCTGGGAGCACAGGCAGCACACATATCGTGGCAGGAGCCGTCTAGGAATCATTACCAGTCACCCGTCGCTGCATTGGACCTGACCTACGAGCTGGAGGTGCTGGACGTGGCCAGCCAGAGCGCATTCAGCATCCGTAACATCCGCAGTCCCCACTTCGGACTCGAGCGCCTGCAGCCGGACAATTTGTACCACTTCCGGGTGCGGGCCATGAGGTCGGCCGGGGAGCCCGGCGACTGGACCCCACCCCACGTGGCTCGCACCTGGCCCCTTGGTCCGCATCGCCTCCGCTGGGCCACCTACCAAGGCGCACTCTATGAGACCAATGAGCTGGGCGGGCAACTGGAGCGAATGGAGGCTCAGCTGGAGGCGCGGCCTGGACCCCTGGCTATGATCAACGCCAGTGCGGGCTACTACGTGGCCGGCTCCGGGGTCTTGCATTGCATCAACGTGGAGCAGCCGCAGCTGAGATGCCTGGTACCAGATGAGGTGCCCCATGTAGGGGCCGTGACGTACGACTGGAGGGGAGGCCGAGTCTACTGGTCGGATCTGGCGCGAAACTGCGTGGTGCGCCTGGATCCGTGGAGCGGGACGCGCGAGCTGCTGCCCATCTTTGGGGCCCGCCAGCTGGCCATCGACCCGCGGCAGGGCCATCTCTACTACGCAACCGCCAACCGTCTGGCAAGTCGCCCCCTCAGCTCTTCCCCGGGCCACCCCCAGCACGTGAATGAGGAGGAGGTGGAGTTTTACCACGTCAACGGCCTTGGGGACAGCATCGCCTCGTTCAGCCTCGACCTGGAGCAAGGCCAACTCCATTGGCTAGTCTCGGGCCCTGCCGCGCTGCGCCTCTACCGGGCTTCTCTTGGAGTGGTCTCCGTCGCGGACTCCCCTCGGCTGGTGCAGAGCTGGCCTGGCAGGGATGCCCTGCCCCAGAGCCTTCAAGTGGTCCGACCCCTTGGGGCTTTGCTCTGGCTGGATCGGGGCGGGCGCCGAGCACTCCTCGCCAGGACAACAGCCCTCGACGACACCATGGAACTGTGGCCACTGGGTCTCAACTCCCCCGCCTCCTCGCTCCAGCTCGCCGACCCAACAGCCCCACCACCACCCGATGCTGGGGTCATACCTTCGGCCGTTCTCCCTGACAGCGTCCGCCTGGATGACGGCCACTGGGACGACTTCCACGTGCGATGGCAGCCAGCGACAAGTGGAGGCAACCACAGCATCTCCTACCGACTGCTCATCGAGTATGGCCAGCGCCTGCAGACACTCGACCTAGCCACCCCATTCGCCCGTATCACACACCTTCCGCAGGCTCAGCTGCAGCTGACAGTCAGCATCACGGCCCGCACCGCCTGGCGCACGGGCCCCACCACCCGCGTTCAGCTGTGCACGCCCGCCGCTGCTCCCACCCAGCCACGGCGCCTGCGCGTGTTCGTTGAGCGCATTGCCAAGCCCCTGGTCCCGCCCAGCATCGGGGCCTTGCTCCGCTGGGATGCGCCCGAGCAGGCGCCTGCTCCGGTGCAGGCTCTGGAATACCGCATCAGCTGCTGGCTGGGATCGGAGATCCACGCGGAACTGCTGCTGAACCAGAGTACCCTGGAGGCCCGAGTGGAGAACCTGCAGCGGGACCAGACCTACCGCTTCCAGGTGGAGGCGCATGTGGCATCGACAGGGGCGGCCGCCGGCGCCGCTAGCCACGCCCTTCACGTGACGCCCGAGGTGCAGGCCGTGCCCCGCTTTGTCTTTGCCAACACAGAGTTCATCGGTGAGCTGGACCTGGACAGCCAGCTCCGCCGCCGACTGGTGCACACCGCCAGTCCCGTGGAGCACCTGGCCATCATGGAGGGGGAGCAGAGGCTCCTGTGGGTCAACGAGCATGTGGAGCTGCTCACCCACGTGCCAGGATCCACGCCCGCCAAGCTAGCCAGGATGCGGGCGGAGGTCCTTGCCCTCACCGTCGACTGGGTGCAGCGCATCGTCTACTGGGCCGAGTTGGAGGCGGGTCAGGAGGCGCCGTCAGCGCAGGTAGCAGTGATATACCGCCTCGACCTGTGCCGCTTCGAGGGGCGCATCCTGCAGGGCGAGCGGCTTTGGAGCACTCCGCGGGGCCACCTGCTGAGGGACTTAGTGGCCCTGCCCCACAGCCGGGCACTGGTCTGGCTCGAGCACGAGGCTGTGTCCCGCAACTCTACGCTACGGGGCCGCAGGCTCACCGACGGATCACCTGTGCCCCTCGAGTCCCCCACCGCCCTCTTCCGGCTGTACGAGGGCAGTCTGGAGCCCGGGACGGAGACGCTCAACTTGGTGGACCACCAGGGAAGGCTTTGTGTCTACGACGTGGCCCGCCAGCTCTGCACCGTCACCGGGCTGCGCAGCCAGCTGCACCTGCTGACGAGGGACAGCGGACAACTGGCCCAGGATGCGGGCTATCTCTACGCTCTGCGCAACGGCAGTATCCGCGCCTATGGCCGGAGGCGCCACCAGCTGGAGTACCTCGTCGAGCTCGAGCCGGAAGAGGTGCGGCTGCTGCAGGCCCACAACTACCAGGCGTATCCGAGCAAGCGCTGCCTGCTCCTCCCCGCCGCCGCTGCCCTGGACTCCACTGCCGTCCAGTGCGAGGAGCTGCAGTGCACCCTGGCCCTGACCCAGCTGCATGCCTCTCCAGACTGCGCGCTGCCCGTGCCCGGCCTGAGCTACCAGCTGAACTTAACTTCGTTGGAAGGAGGCCAGCGCGAAGGGGAACGCCACCAGTGGCTGGCCGGATCAGGGGACACCATCAACATCACAGGGCTGCAGCCCTTCTCCAGGTACCAGCTCAGAGCTACATTGAGCAGCTACTACCAGCTCCGCCTGGGCCTCGACGCCCTGCCCCTGCCCACCATGGAGGTGCGCACCGCACAGGCCTCGCCCACGGCTCCAAGGAACTTTAGCGCGCGCGTGCTGGGTCCCAGCGAGGTGGTGGTCAGCTGGGCCCCACCCCTCCAGCTCCGCAGTGAGAGCGTTCACTACACGATCCACTGGCGGCAGAACTCCAATGGAAACCGCACTAAGCAGGAGCAGGATCTGGAGCAGGATCAGGATCAGGATCAGGAGCAAATGGAACGCAGAGTGGAGACTGCGGGGATGCATCGGCTGAGGGGGCTGCGTCCCGGGTCCGGCTACCGACTCTGGGTGCAAGCCCATGCCACGCCCACCAAGTTCAACAGCAGCAGCCTGTTGCACGTGCGGACCTATGTGAGATTACCAGAACTGCAGCTGCTTGAGCTGGGACCCTACTCACTGACCCTCTCTTGGGCAGGGACCTCGGACCCGCTGAGCTACCTGGCCCTCGAGTGCCGTTCAGCGGCGGAACAGCTGCGCTGGGAAGTAGCCGGAAACCACTCCTGGATGGTGGTGGAGCCGCTGAAGCCGCGCACACGCTATGAGTGCCAGCTGCTGCTCGTCTTTGCGTCCTCCCCAGGCGCATCCGTTTACCGGGGGCCAACTCAGGAGTACGAGACACTGGGGGATGCACCTAGTGCGCCAGGCCGGCCACAGCTCCAGCACATTTCCGGGGAGATCTTCCGGGTGCACTGGAGTGCGGCCCGCGGTAATGGGGACCCCATCGCCCTCTACAGCCTCGAGGCGCTGCAGGCCAGGGCCAGGTCCAGATCCAGATCCAGCCGAAGGAGGCGCAGAGAGAGTGTGAGAGGGGGCCGGCTAGCCCTGCTGCCATGGGCCGAGGAGCCGGCGGTCGTGGAGGACCAGTGGCTAGACTTCTGCAACACTACCGAGCTGAGCTGCATCGTGCGAAGTCTGCACTCGAGCCGGCTGCTCCTGTTCCGGGTTCGCGCCCGCAGTCACGAGCATGGCTGGGGGCCTTACAGCGAGGACAGCGACCGAGTCTCGGAGCCCTTGGTCTCTCCCGAGAAGCGTGGCTCTCTGGTGCTGGCCATCATTGCCCCGGCGGCCATTGTGTCCAGTTGTGTGCTGGCCCTGTTCCTCGTCCGCAAAGGTAACCTTCCCATACCCATGCATACCCCTGCATCCCCATGTACTCGTTTCTACTCGTTTCTACTCGTTTCTACTCGTATATAGCACATATAGTACTGCCCATACACACTCGCATGTATTATTCATTATAAATATATCTATGGTAGTTGACGAGTGAACTGAACAGGTTGCCTGCTTCCCTGTTCCCTGTCCAGCCGTGCCCCTTTGTGGGAACTACTATACGAGTAGATGGCTCAGTCTTCAGCTGGGTGGCCCATGAAGTGTGTGCACACTAACTATTATCCTATATTTGATAATGAGGATTAGATTAGATTAGATTAGATTAGATTAGACACAATATAGATACATAGATAGATATGACTTTAGAGATTTACTGCCCTGCTGTTGCATTTATTTATTTATTTATTTATTTATATCCAAGCAGTGCAAAAGCGGCGCATGCGGGCCAAAAAGCTGCTGCAGCAGAGCCGTCCAAGCATCTGGAGCAACCTTTCTACGTTGAGTACGCAGCAGCAGCTACTGGCCGCCCGCAGCCGCGCCTTTTCCACGACGCTCAGCGACGCGGACATCGCCCTGCTGCCGCATATCCGGCGGAGTCAGCTGACCCTTCGCCGCTTCCTGGGCAGCGGAGCCTTCGGCGAGGTCTACGAGGGCGACTTGCAGCCGGAGGACAAGAAGGAGACGCAGCGCGTGGCTATCAAGGTGATTAAACTAGCCCACAAAATCGAAAGGATGCATAGAGTCATCAGTCGTGGAATAATTCTGGAAACCATTCTAAACCCTTGCTAATACACAGAGCCTGCGCAAGGGGGCCAGCGAGTTTGCGGAGCTGCTGCAGGAGGCGCAGTTGATGAGCAACTTTAAGCATGAGAATATTGTGTGCCTCGTGGGCATCTGCTTTGACACCGAATCCATCTCGCTCGTCATGGAACATATGGAGGCGGGCGATCTCCTCTCGTACCTGAGGGCTGCTCGACCAAATTCCCAGGTAAGTTCACAGGGGATCCCCTTCCTTCCCCCCTTACCGACCCATTTGAATCTTTAAGGAGGTAGTCCAAGGACTGTCGCTGTCGGAGTTGCTGGCCATGTGCATAGACGTGGCCAACGGTTGCAGCTATCTGGAGGACATGCACTTCGTCCATCGTGATCTGGCCTGCCGCAACTGCCTTGTTTCCGAGGGAACAGAGGCGGGGCACCGGCGCATGGTGAAGATTGGCGACTTCGGTTTGGCCCGTGACATCTACAAGAGCGACTACTATCGCAAAGAAGGCGAGGGGCTGCTCCCGGTGCGCTGGATGGCACCGGAGAGCCTGGTGGATGGGGTGTTTACGACCCAGTCGGATGTGTGGGCTTTCGGCGTACTCTGCTGGGAGATCCTCACCCTGGGCCAGCAGCCGTATGCGGCTAGGAACAACTTCGAGGTGCTCGCCCATGTCAAGGATGGTGGACGCCTCCACCAACCCACCATCTGTCCCGACAAAATGTAATTGGTGTCTCTAATCCGTATTATAAAAGGCTCCTTCTACAACTGATCTCCCTCTTGGCAGGCATTCCTTGCTCTTGTTGTGCTGGCGCACGGATCCATCGGAGCGACCCAGCTTCAGGCGTTGCTTCAATGCTCTTCATGCCATCAGCACGGATCTCCGCCGCATCCAACTGCCGCCGGTCCACTCAAGAACTGCGGGATCCAGTGGGGAAGCCGCTTCCCCCACCAGATCACAGCTTAAGGTGCGTTTCGATGAGCATAAGGAGAAGGCTACGGGGCAGGAGAGTGAGAAGGAGAAGGTGACGAAGGAACCAGAGATTATGTCGCTTCGGAGTGTGTCCTGTCAGAGTCCGTCTCAGCAGCTGTATGCCAATGAGGGGATCTCTCGCCTATAGAAAGGCCATCATCTCTCTGCGTATGTCGTCTCAAATGAGCGCGCTCCCTTCTCCGTTTCCGATGCATCGCGATGCTATAGGAAATCAGTTTCTAAGGCTAATGAGTTGATATGGGCCGTGCCTTCCACGGAACTAGCTTTCCAGATTATGCTTAAGCAGAACCTTTAGGTTAAATTAATATTCTCGGAGATGGACATTGAATGTAAGTGCACAGAAACTGGCCCATTGCGAAGTCTGCGAAGTTTGATGCATGATACGAGTATTCGGGTTTCCTTCGGTCAGTTCGTGCACTTATTTGGCTGACGAGTATGACATGATATTTTGATCAGATACACGGACCAGCATTTCGATATGATATGGTCGAAAATGTTCAAACTTGATTTCTTCGTGCATCTCAATTTGACATTTTAATATGTATATTTGATGATACATTTTATACATGTAATGTATGTACAATATTCTAAGCAGGGAAAATAATATTAGTTTGATATTCAAATGTCAAAACAGTCTATTTTTTTTTTAAATCAAATATGTTAATATAAAACAGCCAAAATGTATTTGTTTGGTTAAAAATCTGAAAACATTTTTATTTATCGGGCTTACTTGCTTGTTAAATTAATCCATCCAAAAAATGAAAAGGTTCAACCAAAAAAAGCATGGGTATGGATATTGAGTTTATTGACTCCAACTTTCATTGCGTTGAATTATGAGTATAGTATGACTACTAACCCGTGCATTAAGATAATTTTTTAGATCTTCCAACGAGAGAAAGGGATCTACTTAGCGCTGTTTTCCGCATGCGAATCGTTTTTTTTTTTCAGTGAATCGGCCAAAAACATTTTTAGAATTGTGGCACTATTTGACATTGTGTGACCTTCATTTTTAAGATTTTGGATACGTTTTCATATATCTGAACCGAATTAAAACAACAAACAAAACGGGATCTGCAGGCATTGGTATTTTATATCTTCTTTTGCCTCTAGTTTATGAAATTTTACTGGTATAATTCGATTACAACCGATTCAAAACAAGACAAGAACCAAATTCGAGTGCGTTTATATTAATTTTTCCAAGACAAAAACGTAGTATTTCTACAAATCAGCCAATAATTCCTACGAAATAACCACAAGAGATAATCCAAAATAAAGCTCCATTATCCTGCAAACAGGCACAGTTTTCATCCAAACAATTTGCTCCAAAAATGAAATATTTGGCTTCAAATGTGAATGTGCCTGTCGGTTCTATTTTTTTTCTATCACTTTAAGTATATATGTATACTACTAGAGCTTTAGCCGATTGTGTAGGCCACAGGCACAGTGGTTGCTGGCATATGCCAAAAATCTAATTATGCATTTTAAAATGTTTAAAAAACAACTGACTGTGTGATAAGCTGATTGTCCAAACTTTCTAATGTCATACTGATTTTGCTTAGATTTTAACGGTACTCTCTAAAAATACAATCGAAAACGAGGAGGAACTTTGTGAGTCGCTTCTGTTGCCGCTTATCTACTTGTATACCCATACTCAGTCAGTCTTCAATTAAATTGATCAAACTATTCAAAACCAAAATTTTATAATTTACAACAAATTTTTAATATCTATAATCGCTCTTCAAAGTTGGACCTGTTTTTCTATTTTTGAAAAAATAAAGAAAAACAAGCTTAAAAGGCAAATTCAGCTGGGACTTCATTTAAAAAATAAATTGAAAATATGAATAAAAAATAAAGAAATATTGGTTTTTTTTTTAAAGTCTTATAAAATATACATTGGAATTTTTTAAAAAATTAATTTTTTTCCCAACTTAAAATTTGTAGCGTCATTTAAAGAAAAAGCCAAGACTATATGAAAAAGAGTGGCGATATTTTTTAAAAGAAGAGAAGGAACGTGTGAATCGCTTCTGTGGACGCGACTCTACTTTTATACCCGTACTCAGTCAGTATATAAATTTGTGAGCTTATGATTTATGTAGAATTTCAAAATATTTTACACACTCAATTTTTTTTGCTACATTTGTTATCTACATCTACATCGAAAATGTATATTACACATTTCATTACATTACATTACACATAATGTATATTATACATACACAATGTAAAATTCTACATCTTCTCCGCAAAGGTCAGTGCAGTGCGCCACAGGGCTGAGTGTGTACGAGCGAGAAAGAGAATGAGTAGCGAGGTCTCTTGCTGGAGGAAGTGGGGGAAGCAACTGCAAATTAATTTCTTTATTCTGGCTATAATTATGATCTGATCTGATTCAAATTCGGCTATTTGGTAGATAGAAACTGCGTTTTCAGTTTTATCGTATACAAATAAATACTAAGAAAGACCACTGTGCTACCTTCTCGCATTTTACATATATAAATACATTAACATTTCGCGTGCCGTTTTATCCCAAACACAAGATCGACTGGACCGAACAAAAAAAAAAAAGATAGGGAAACCAAGTAAAATTGACTACCTATTGCACAGATTTGTATTGCACTGATATGTATTGCACTGAATGATGTTTTTGCACCAGCTGAGGTGTTGTTGTAATTCTGCGTTGGTGTTGCTACGACAGCGGACTGCCCACCTTACCATGATCATCCTAGCCACAAGACCAAATTATTGGCCGATGATCCCTGACACAACCAACTCTTGAACCTGCTTCCATACTACGACGAGGCATGGCTACCCACAACACGAACAAACTAGAACATATTAAAATTCGGCTATCCAGCAAAAAAAACTGTTCTGAAATATGTATAACTAGGTAAAAATATAAAGATTACAAATTTAGATATAACATTAGAAAAATAATAAAATAAATTAAATAAAAATAAAGAAAGAGTTATCTAAATAAAAAAAAATAGGAAATTAAACTAGTATGCCTATATAAAAGTGTCGCCAAAATGGTTAAAATTGTTCGAATTTTAATTCTCCGTTCTCCAATCGAGCCCGTAAAACTGTACTTTATACGTTCCAGTTCCACTAAAACTGTGCACTTTGTGTTACAAATAATATAATTACTTTAAAACTGTGATGGTACAATTACTGTCCCGTTTTTATCTGGAACTTTGATTCTACCTCTCTTTTCTCTGATACTTTTATGCATGCATTCTGAGCAAAATAATGAATGGTGTTTCTTACTTACGTGCCATCCATCTGCAAAGGCGCTTTTGTCGATGCGATGCGACGACTCGGCTATAATTGCTGTAACACCCACTCAAAAGAAAGCACAAGAACCAAGCAGGAGGGGAAGAGAAGCCAACGGCATATAGGCCTGAGTTATGTACATATGTATGTAGGTTATGGAGGACCGAGAGAGACACGAAGCGGCCGTAGTTTCGTCGCGTCGTCTGTATAGGCAGCCTTCGGCTCTGAGAGAGCCGAGAGCAAAGAAGGAGATCAGTCGAAGTCGAGAGTCAGAGACAGTCAGTCGTAATTCAGCCACGCATCGTACGAAAATCACACACATAAGTTAAGAACATAACTGTACCACAAATTGTACTTGGAGCTAAGAAATATATATAATAAGTTCAACATCCATACTTATAAATTAAGCAAACAAAACTATCTACAAATTGGGGGCTCGTCCGAGAAATAAGCCCAAGACTACATCTAAATCTGTGGTTTGTGTGTGTTTTTGGAGCAATTTGGCGAACACGAGACTGTGTGTACTGGAAATCGGTCGCTGTGCGAAATTGAAGCGGAGTCTGGCGTACAAGTGCGAGAGAGACAACACCACAATTGTCGGAAAGAAAAACGCAAGAGTGTATGCAGATGTTCAAGGGCACGAGAAGCGACAAAGCGACGAGAGACAGCAAAGGACGCTAGAGCTACAGGGAGACAAGCGGCACAGAGACAACAATCTGAGCGCGTTCGTTCCAACGAGAGCAGAAGCGACAAAGCGACGAGAAACGGCAGAGGACGCTAGAGCTACAGGGAGACAAGCGGCACAAGACGACAATCTGGGAGGGGGGGGACACAATGAGCGTTCGTTCCAACGAAGCAGAAGCGACAAAGCGCGTGAGACAGCTAAGGACGCTAGACCTAAGGGAGACAAGCGGCACAGAGACGACAATCTGAGCGCGTTCGTTCCAACGAGAGCAGAAGCGACAAAGCGACGAGAGACGGTAGAGGACACAGCAAAAATAAAAGAACATTGGTTGTTGTTGTGCATTGCGTCTAGGAGAGGCGTGAGCTACGAAAGGCAAGCGGCAAAGAGACGACCATCCGAGCGCGCTTGTATGGAGCGATCGTGAGCAGAAGCAAGGCAACAAAGAGAGGACGACCAAAGCAACATCGACAGTCAAGCGAGATCTGGATGTGGCAGTGTGTGTGCGTCGTCTGGAGTCTGGAAAGTTCTACGAGCGAAACAAGGGTAAAGCCCTAGTAAGGGGAGGTGAGTGTTAACAGAGAAGCGATCGTTAACAGAGGCTGTAAAGGCGAAGCTGTGTTTACATAGAAGATTGTTAACAGGCCAACGTTAAGACCTTAATTATTTGATTTATATCGTTTGATTTATATTGTTTGATGTAACTAAATTTCTTAGATATAAAGGAAAGGTACAGCAGATGATCAACAGTGTTGAGCCACGAAGTACCAAGACAACGCCATTTAAGATATTAACTGGATTAGACATGCGCATACCTATTGATCCGAACATAAAAGAAATATTAGAACAATCGCTAATAGAAGAGTTTGATAAAGAGCGTGAAAAGATTAGAGAGGAAGTATTAGAGAACATAGCACGGATACAGCAGGAGAATAAGAAGAGTTTTGACTCAAACAGGAAGATAGATAGACAGTATAAGGAGAATGACTTGGTAGCTATAAAGCGTACTCAGTATGGTACTGGGCTAAAACTAAAAGGAAAGTACCTAGGGCCGTATAAAGTTACCAAGGTAAAGAATCATGGAAGGTACGAAGTCGAGAAGATTGGAGATACTGAGGGACCCTATAAGACTTCTACAGTTTCAGAGTATATGAAGTCTTGGCTAGACCCATCCGAGGCGAATGGTCCGTCAGGACAGCCGATTGTAGGTTATGGAGGACCGAGAGAGACACGAAGCGGCCGTAGTTTCGTCGCGTCGTCTGTATAGGCAGCCTTCGGCTCTGAGAGAGCCGAGAGCAAAGAAGGAGATCAGTCGAAGTCGAGAGTCAGAGACAGTCAGTCGTAATTCAGCCACGCATCGTACGAAAATCACACACATAAGTTAAGAACATAACTGTACCACAAATTGTACTTGGAGCTAAGAAATATATATAATAAGTTCAACCTCCATACTTATAAATAAATTGCCATTAAGCAAACAAAACTATCTACATGTATGTTTTTTTTTGGTTTCTTTTTTTCCGCCCATTCAGTATTTTACTTTTCTTTCTTCTCTATGCACTTTTAAATTCGGCTCTCATTACTAATATGGCGAGACCGACGATAAAAAGAGAAAAACAGCATTTTCTACCGCTGACCAAGAAAAAAACTATTTTTAACCATTTCACTACACGTATGCTATTTTTAGCGTATGGCATACATATGGTGTATATGGCAAATATGATGCAGCTCCTCTGCGGTTTTTTTCTATTCAAATCAATTGGGGATTTCTTTCTAGTGGGATTGCTTTTGCACTATCACTATTAAACTTATATTTCACTAATTAGGCTAGAGTGGCAGATAGACGAAAAAAAAACTGATGAAAAATATAAAAGAAAAGGTATTTTAAAAACCCGACGTACATATTTCGGGTTAAATTTCGCAGCTTCCCCGCCCCGACGCTGGCTTCGGTGGTGCGAATTCCAAATAATTCGACTAAAAATTGCAGAGAGCTCTTATCTCTGCTTAGTTACTCATATTAAAATGCGGCGAATTCCCGATCAGATGTATGCATGCCAGCTGATTTGTTGCTGGTTTTGGCTCGGCAATTAAAATTAAATTTGTACTAAGTGCCAATTCTGCAATTGCACATAGAGAAAAAAATGTTTGTTTTACAGTTTGCCCAAAAATATGTACCGATCAACAAAATCTGGCCGACTTAACGCTTGTTTGCGATCGGCACTCTTTGATATTTCAAATCATTATCTCGTTGCTGCTCCACAATTTTGTGCAATTTATAATTTCTCCGATCTCTTTTAATTATTTAGCGGAGAAACAATGTGATTTGACCTCGGCGCGGTTTTTGATAGTCGCTCTATCATTAACTATCAACCTCTTCGGATGAGGACCAGCATAGAAAAGACCATGACAGTAGCTGGGCTCACCTACCAGAACCTGTTAACAGCGAAAGTGCCCCATTCGCCATTGCCAAATAATTAACATAAATAGGTAGCTACAGCACCGCCGATCATGAACACTAGGATCGCTAGCAAAAGCTACGATATTCGCCGAGTGAAATTTTAATATCGGTGGTCATAAAATCTATACGTCAAGCGACACTACATATACATGTACTTTGCTCATTTAATATTATTTTATTTTTTGTATCTTTAATTTTATTCGACAATTCTTCGCTTTATATATATAAACATAAATGCAACCACAGTGCGAAGTTGGAAAGATAATAAACGAAGTGCAATAACTAATATTACTCTTTTTCTCTTTTCTCTTTTTCTCTACATACTTTTCCCATCTTA